GTACTTTACCTTTTGAAGCAGTTCTGTCCGTAAGCGTACATTGGTAGAGCGGCTCGGAGCCTAGAACACTCGCGTAGGTATCGGCTCTTCAGGTCGTTGAGTATGTTGGCCTGTTCTTTGGAGCTTATAGGTGGGTACTGGGGGACCGCCTCTTCGGTCTGCACATCAGAACGCACGTCACCTTCACCTGACGCCATACTCGTCGCCATCCCATCCGTTTTGTTGTCTTCCACTAAAATTTGAGCGCCGTCAACGAGGCTGACAACACTTTCCGCAGACCTGCCAATGTTGGGACAGCTAGTGGCCCCTGCAGGGAGTTGTGTGGATGGTTCTGCCTCCTCTGGTCCACACCCAACCTCACAGAGATCGGGCGTCATTCGTTGTTGCACCACTGGTACTGGATCACTCGCACTTCTACAAAGCACATTGTCACTGTCTGTTTTGACTTCTGGTGTATCTATGCTGATCTCGGCATCACCTGCACGTGTCGAAGCACGGTAGCAGCCTTGCACGAGTGGCTGCATCTGGTGACAAACTGACGAGCTCTTCGGAAATGGTTTTGATACTTTGATCAAACTCTTCCCTTTGTTTCGTCAACTCCTCCTGTTTCATCTGCAGAACCTTCCTCTGTTGTTCTCGGACCTTGTGTTCGTCAAGGGAAACAAATCGACCACTTGGGCGAACCTCATTGACCTTTACTGTGATTTCTTCTACCTTCTCGTTGTGACTTGCGATAACTTGCCTGACGCCAGAATCTACCTGACTAGCGAGAGCCAACAGCTTGTCCTCGAATGTAAGTTGCCTTTTCTCCGGATGGCGCTTTTTCTTCACTACTGATCCTCTATCAACTCTCTCTGACACACCGACTGTCCTTACGGATTTGCTGAAGTTTTCTGCATCTTTGTGTGTCGCAAAATACACGAACCCTTTCGACTCGCTCTCAAATTCTATCGAGGCGTGGTCAAACCCAGGATGATTTGCAAAGACGGTATGGAATTGTTGTGCATTCATTTCTGGAAGTTGCTTGAGTTGTACTCTGTACAGGTACTGTCTGTGGTCACGAAAGTGACGTCCTTGTTGTCCATAGAACATTTGCCCACGTTCTGTTTCCTCAACCTTCTTTCGTTGTTTTGTGTCACCTTCGCTTGACTTTCGAAACTCGTGCCGCGAAGACTTTGGCCTAACACCCTGCTGGTCGCTGTGGTGACGCCTTCGCTGATGTGTCGCCGTCACATTCTGGGCGGAGGCGTTACGCCTAGCCTTTGGGTGGGGCTTCGGCTGTACAACAGAGTGACCTGGAGGCAAAGGAGTATTTCCAACTTCACTCGAGCCTTGCATGGCAAGATTGGGTGTGGAGTTTGAGTGCGGTGTCTTACCTCCTTGCCTCCCACGTCCACTATCGTCTCCATCCGTGGATTTTAACTTGTGATCTGCTGTCCTTTCTTTAGTCGTGTCTCTGGCCTTTGGCCTGACACTTCGACCATCGTGACCTGTTCTGTCTGAATGCGCGCTACCTTGCCTGGGTGGGAAGTGAGGCCTCTGGCCCCTGTGCCCTCTTCGATTGTAGTTTCCCGTTCGAGCTTCATCAGAATCTTGTCGCTTGCGTTCTCTTTCTGATCCGTCCGCTCTGGGTTTGGCCCTTGGCTTAGCATCTTCTCTATACGGTACACGTTCGTTTCTCTTCCACCCATGTTTTCCTCTAAGTTGAGCCGTGTCCAAGTATCCCTGTGGTTTACCCTTATGTTGCCGGTGGGGACCTACACGCTGTCCCTCTTGGTACGCTTTCTTCTTGCTCGTACCGTCTTCCTTTTCATCTGATTTATCCTCATGTTTAATGTCTCTTTGACTTGGCGATACAGACGGCTCTACTCCTATATGTACTTCTCCTTGGCTTTTTGTCTCTTCTTGTTCGTCCATGTTTGACTCCGGTGACTAAAGTTCCACGGGAAGAAATGGATCAAATACAGGTAAACAAGAAAACTGTATTCGTGGATTAATTACAAACGTAACTCTAGAATATCACTTGGACATTAAAATGAACTAGAAACGTATCATTTGCAAAGCAAATACATAATGTTTACCCTCGCATATGGTCTGCTCTGTTAATTCTTAGTCAAACATATTCTGGTATATGGTGACAGGAGTCTACAATATTCTCCACCCAATGACAGCCTTATGTTAACAGAGAAGACCGTTTTAACACTCCATGATTTAAATAAATTTTGTTCATATTGATGTTCACCTACACTTAACTTCCAAATGCGGCAAATATGAACTGCCTGGCAGTTACCACTATGAAATTATAGCAATTTCCCGTTAATTATGCAAATTAGGTCTAATACTACAGATTTATAGAAATTCCTCATTAATTATGTAAATTAGCCTCTGATTTGGATAATCATCATATGATTATTATATATTATTAAGATTTTTTTTCCTTTATATAGACCACTCTTAGAATTCTACACTAAACTCACACAGGCCACGCTGTGTGATTGAGCTTCCATTGCTTTGCGTGGTATACATGTAGTACTGCTAATGCTTGGGATCACCTTAGCACCCGTATATCCAAATAAGAATCTCATGCTACATTTGATTACCGAAACTAGCGCTTGAATGTCACGTCTGAATGTATTAAACGACTGAGGTTTTAACCCTTGTCCTGCTGGACTTTTTACACAATATTTTCAAGTAATTTGAAGTCGTAATCAGGTCAGAGAGCCTTGACTTTTTTGCCCTGCGGCGGCGTAGTTACTTCCGCATTCTTTGCGTTTCGCTGCGGTGTGATGCGTTGAACGAGAAACAGCCCCAAATCGTACATATACAGGACACTATATAAGTGGTACTGTATGTGCAACCCATATATATATATGGGTCCGGCAGGACAAGTTAAAACATAAACTTTTTTTTTCATAGCCCCAATCTTTCTTCTAAGTAAAGTATACATAATCCAACGTTTCGAAACATTAAAATGCATGTACACCTTTATCGATGTAAAAATTCGGAACTCGTGACACGATATGTATATATAGTTGCACACCTTCTGTACACGTTGTCAGTAGGTCAAAGTTGAGTATCGCTGGTGTCTTATTGCGGTAGTGACGTCATTGGTCCACCGTACTTGCGAAACCACCAATACTGTGTAAAATTAGGTCATGTGTTAGTTCAATACAGCAAATAAAACCTCCTCTCTCCTTTGACGAACAACTATAACGTCTATAATTGCTGTTTGTGTGACTGAAAGCTTCTGCTATGGCTATTGCACCCCCCCCCCTTCCACCCAGTATCGACCCCGGCTCCTCCTGCCCCGTGAACATACTGTCCCGGGGATCTTCTATCGTTCAAACATTCAATAAGATAACAGGTAGACAAAGCAACAAGTTTGTTATGCTAACCTTACTCACTGTGCTATCCTCTGTACTATGTCTGCATGTAGAAAGGATCCGAAGCTCGCTGTGCCCATTTCATACTGTCTAGTATATATAGTATGGCTGACCGAAACTATCGGGTAGTACTTCCGCTTTGCTGTGTCGTATGACCGAAACTCGAAACTCGATATAGGGGACCGACCGCGAATACTTCAAACAGGTGATATGAGAAGGAATCCACATCTACGTCAAACTTTCATAGGTTATGGAACTTTTCTGGGCTAACTGTCTCTTCAGATTTCTCAGCAACCTGCTGGTTCTATTTCCGGGTCAACACTGGGGTCAGGTTTACCTTCGGGCCCTTTGCCAAGTTGTCTCCCACCCCTTTTAATATTACCTGGGCGGTGAGGGGCAGGGCGAAGGGCGTACGTCATAAATAAAGGGATTGGGATTTGCTTCAGCGGAATATTAAAATGTACCATCATCAAAATGCATGTCACGTTACTTACATACAGTTGTTGTGTGGATATTAAACGTGCACAGTTCCCCACATCCCTTGCGTGCAGAGTTCAAGAACAAGAACAACGCACCTGTTCCGAATACTGCAGCACACACCTAAGTTTTGCCAAGGTTGACTAGTTGGGCAACCCTAGCTGTTGTAAGCCGAACTAATAATACATGTAGGGTTAGCGTTGAGGTTGTCATATCGAACATGGGTTAGATTGGTGTCGGAACTTAGGGGTGTAGCCGCACACTACACCGCGCTCCCAGCATTGATATCCTGTCTTGACTTTGGTTCTACCAACGAGCGAGCGAAGCAGCAAGAGACGTTCATGGTATTTTGTTTAATCTCACTGACATCAGTGTAAACCTACCTTCCGATCGCTTGGACAGCCTTCTATGCAAAAGACCGATCCCAGATGTGAAGTTCCTTTTTGTACAGTTGCTCACATGACCGGCCGGCGTTCCTATTAACTGTACACATGGACTCGCATAGGGTGACAGGGTTTCCAAAATCCCAGAATCAATATGCAGAAGGCTGAGAAGTACAATACTCAGCGACCCTACGCTAGACCAGGCAACACCCACTTACGTGTATGCTACAAAACAAACAGAAACCTGTCATGAACGCACCACGCCCACTCTATTCTATAAAGGTTGAACATTAACTAGTGGGAGGATTCTACTTGCAGTAGGGGGGGGGGCGGGGTCCCACACTTACGAAAAATGATTGGGCACTTGCAATTATAATGTTAAGTCCTGGTAAATAGAAGGAGAGCTTAATGAAAAAATTGTGTACTCATCATAGTTCCACATCGTTGTATTTAATCATGATACAGTACAATGTAACAAAGTAACAAAGGTCGTACCTTAAAATGCAGACACTAAAACTACCACTACACAATGTGAACTGTCATATACACACAATAGAAAATGCAAAATGCAAAATATGAAAATGGCTTCAACCAGCAAAGCTTTCACAGTCTCAAAGTTCAAACCACAGCAAGATGATTAAACATCAATCCATATTTTTTGCTGCACACTTATTATGGATCATGGACACTAAACTACAGGCTAAACTAGTACATATTGCGCCTTTCAGGCATGAACAAGCAAAACAGAACAACACAAGACGTTTTACACAACTTTCAACAGTCTCACATTAGATTGCTTCATTGAGGCGTTACATTGAATTTGTGAAGCTACACTACTCAAAAGCGTGTCCAGAACCGTGTCTATCTAGCTCTATGCTGAATGGGTTAGGATCAGGCATCCTGGTTATGGATAATCTCTGCTTATCCAAGAACGTAGATTTTCCCTAGGCTGCAACGGTTCTGGATACGCGTGGAGTATAACTGTGCCTGAGCATGGATGGTTCAGGATACAACACGTCTAGTCGCTATCGCTCTCCCCGTCGTTAAACATATCCGACAGCCTGGAGAACCTGGGTCCCCAGCGTTGTAGGTAGTCATAGCTCTGCCTTTCCTCCGTGCTGCTGGAGTTGAGTGAGCTGAGGGAAGTCGCCGGCGTCCCGCGGCCCTCCACCGCGAACGACATCTTCTGGTCCCTGGCGCCGGCGTTCGTGTCGACGTTGGCGTCGCTTAGTCGGCTGTTGATGAAGTCTGCCACCTCAACAGCGTCCTCTGGTGACAGCACCGGGAACCTCTGCAAACACAGCGAACATTTATAATAGATACGGCTTATTACATGCCTTCCATAGCAGGATTCAATGGCAAATTCCAGAACATGATGACATGCGCTACCCCATGCATTGTACATATTGGACAGTATGTTTAAAGCCTAATGTAGATTAGTCTCATAGTATGCTTGTTGTTACGCAGCAGTGTATTTCATGCGCTATACTTTTTGGTCGTAGCAGATCACTTCTATTCGACATACTAATATAATTGATCATGCCAACAAAACTGCATAATAATAATATCCCCCACCACAAAAAGTCGTACAGCCCGCTAAGGTGGCTACGATTGCCATTGATTACGGTTGCCCTTGGTTACGGTTGCAGCTCTCACCTTGCGGTGTTTGAGCGTGTCTCCCGCGGACTGGATGACGTTGACGTCGAACGTGTCCTGGTCCTCCTCGCCGTACCCCTCCTCCCCGTACTCCACCACGTTCTCGCGAGACTCCTCGTACACGCGAGATTTGGGGTAGTCCAGCAGGGCTTCCCGCTTTCTCTTCAGGTACGAGCGGCGGAACGCCAGGAACACTATCAGCACCACTGTCAGAAAAATACAATAAAAAAACTCATATCAGTTCTAAGTATCAAGTGTAGTCATTCATTGTTCTGCGTATTCCAGTCGTCACAGTGTCACACCATTGCTTTCATCGTCAAGTGTGTTGGGTTCTTTAAATTAACGTGAGGAGGTAGACCCAGACTTAAGCTTACCCATGAGAATGGCCACGCCGAAGAGCACGATGATGAGGGCGGCGGGTGAGATCTGGATAGGACTGCTCACCGCCAGAGGTCCGCAGTTCTGACCTGGTGAAATCAAAACGTATTCGTCTGAGTACAGAGTTCATACTCATGTGCGTATTGGCTGATATGGCATTTTATTTTGTTTGCCTTAGTATAGAGATTATTTTTATTCAATGATATATGATATTCGGTAATAATATTTGATACATGCAAGGTTTACGTCGGTGAAGGTTAGACATCCAGGTAATGAGATACGCCAAAAATAGTTACTAAAGCAACTGGATATGATTTTTTAAATCGGATATACTGGAATTGATTTTTATATTATTTTTTAAAAATCATATCCAGTTGCTTGAGTAACCTTTGTTTGACGTATGCAAGTTTTTTTCTAGTCTTTCTGTTGCGGTGTTATATACATGTTTTAATATGTTGTATTCATTGTTGCCAAATACACCACACAAGGAATTTAAAAAAAACAGGTACTTACGGTCCTTGACAATCTCGTCGGGATCATCCGGACATGTACAGTTGTAGCCGAACAGGTAGTTGTTACAGACGCCGACGCCGCACGGGTTGTCGGCGCAGTAGTCCCTGACGCTGCAGTCGTCTGCCGTGAAGCCGTGCGCGCACGAACAGTTCCGGCCGCTCTCGTTCCGCGACGCCGTGTCCAGCTCCAGGCAGCTGCCGCCGTTAGCGCACGGGAAGTAGTAACAGTTCCTGTCCACCGTGCAGTTCTTACCTGGTACAAACATACAGTAACAGTGATCGCGGTTAGATGTGTAAAGGTTGGGTGTGATTTGTGTCTTGTTCAGTGTGATATAACCAGCTAGCTGCCGCCGCGCCGCGTGCCTGCGAAGCTGGTGTGCTACCCGAAGAGCGGTTATAGCGACTATACAGATGCAGGAAAAGAGAAATGATAGTGACATAATTTTGGAATGCATATTTTTTTCGAACCATGGGCTTGGCCTTATATTAACTTTTGAACACGTCATCATGGCGTTATACTAATTTTCATAAATTACAATTAGACGACGTTGTCTTACTGAAGTTACTGTTCCGTTTCTATGACTCGAAACTGACCATCCAGGACACGTTCAGATAGATCTTCCCAGTTCCCTCCTGACAACTAACTATGGAGCATACCTTTGTACGGGTCGGTACAGGAGCAGTTGTAGTCGGCGATCAGGTCCGTACAGGTGGCGCCGTTCTGACACGGGTCCAGCTCCGCGCACTCGTCGATGTTCTCGCACGTCAGAGGGTCGGTGTTCGTGGTTCTGTATCCCTCCGCGCACTCACACACCCCGACGTCACACGCCTCCCCGCGGCCCAGCCGGCACGGGTACGACCTGCACGTCTGGTTCGACATGCAGCTGAACTCAATATCCCTGTGGGGAGGGGTGGCGGGAGAGAAAAACAGAGTAAGGTTTCAGTCGGTACGACGAAAGGTCTACTATAGTAGGTTTACATTTAAAGAACACTGAAAAAATTGAGTTTGGAAGCTTTCCTAGGTTTAAGGGCTGAAACACAAGCACACACACACGCATACAAACACACACATTCAGTCACTCACTCATTCACACGCACACACACATACACACACACACGCACGCACGCACACATACATACATACATACATACACGCACACACACGCACGCACACAAACACACACACACGTTCATATGTACCGCTCTTACATACATCAATACATACACACACGCACACACACACTTGTACAAACACAGCCACATACACACACGCACACACTCACACAATTCCAGAGAGAAAGACATACACACATATTTCCAGTTCTCACCTGAATCTTATGTTCTGTCTCTGGAACTCGTACGGCAGGAGTGAGTCCTCCTGCACGCTGAAGCGCAGGTCGTCCACACAGCCTCGGAACGACGTCCTCATGTCGGACGGCAGGCCGCGCGGGTCGGCCACCCCGCCGATAAACAGCGTCTCGGCGTTCAGCACGTGGGCGGTGTCGGAACTCTCACCTAGGCGGGAAGGAACGGGAGAAACAAAGTTTGATTTGGTCTGTATTGTCTGTTTGCATTGGTCTTAAGGTTGAACCCACGCTCGTCCTTGATGCTATGGTAATCTAAACATCATTGTGTATCCGTATTTTCGGTATAATCGCCTTGTAGTGCCACGCCAGCTTCTCGGGCAACCGGCATAGTGGCAGCTGGTTATATTACACTAAACAACCTGTCACAACATCCATTCCTTTCTTCGTCCCTCCATCCTCCCTTTCTTCCTCCATTCATTCAATCCACAATCCTTCATTCGCCCATTCCACAAACTTTATTCATTCACCCATTGTACGGACTTCCTTCATTCGCCCATTATTATTACCCAGACTTACCGACGAACTCCACCCTTGCCAGCACGTCCCCGGCCAGACTGTACATGGTGGCGACGTTGTTCTCCCGACGGATGGTGATCTCCTGCCACTCCCCGTCGTTAAACGGAGCCGCGCGGGTCGACTCCCGAACCGCGTCCACTCCGCTTCCCTGGGTACACAAACAAAAGAACGAGCGCTCAAATTTTACCATGGGTATAAAAGCCGTGCCTACATCTAGTTCTGTGCCTTAATGGGTTAGGGTTGATGGGTTCTGTGCCTTAATCAGGCACGGTTCTGGATAGTCTCCGCGTATCCAAGAACATAGCCACAGCCACGATTCTGGATACGCGTGGGATATCCAGAATCATGCTCCCGCACGGTTCTGAATAGTCCACGCGTTGCTTGATACAGCATAACAGGTGGTTGTAGTGATAGTATCAAATTCCATGCATCATTGTCAGTATTTGGGGCGCAGAACCAAATCAGTTAATTGACTGCACGGAAATGACTTCTGACCTCCGACCTGAGGTCGCATTCGGTTTCCGTTCTAATAGCGTGCTTAGTGCAGTCACTCTAGCAAATCCTCAAAAAAATCCTTCAAAAATTCTCGTTAAAATCCGACAATTTTTCGGAAGATATGGCTCCCAAACGTTCGAAGAAGTGTCCAGGATGCCACTTGGACGTCGCCCTGCACAAATCGGGCGTTGCTGGCAAGGATTGCACGGGGATTCTGGAAGACAACGGCGCTGTGGGTCAAGGCATGCAAGGCGCCATGGCCGAGCTACAACAGCGCAAGGCAGAGCTTACCCAGCGCCTAGAGTTGAAGAAGCTTCAGCGGGAAGTGGATGCGCTAGAGAAGGAATTGGCCACAGACACCACTACAACCTCGCCGCTTCCTCCGGCCAAGGACGGGAGCAAGACGGACGAAACTCAAGACGGGGAACGCAAGCATGTCGATTTCGGACTCGCAGACATTACGTTAGCCCAGCTCCGCGAAGATGCCGCGCTTCAGAGCCTCGTATCCACAAAGTATGGGGATCTTGTCGGCGCGGGCAAGAAGCCAGAGAAAGGTAAGGCAATCCTATCTCCCGAATCTTTCGTCCATAGTTTTCATTCAGCGGAAACGAAGAAGTATGACGAGCTCGAGATGGAAGAATTCCTAGCTGGCTGTATGGGTTTATTGCGCAATCCCGGCCTACCCTCCTATGAACTGATGGGGCGCATAGCACTGTTGGAATATACGTGTAACAAACTGGCTAGGTACGACTGGACCGTGGTTCGGTCTTTTCATGCGGCGGCGGTCAAGCAAGCGCTCCGGAAGCCAGGCTCATGGTCGGACGACTGGGTAGCCCTGAAGGAGATTTACTTTGATGCCGATCCGCTCAAGATCAGGCCTGCCGGGTCCGCCGCGAGTCGACAGCCCAAGAAATCCAATCCTCCACGCATCTGCTATCGGTTCTCTAAGAACGAGTGCGCCGCTGATACGTGTCGTTTTGACCACATTTGTGATTACTGCTGGACAAAGACATCGCAGAGGTTCAAACACTCAGCCGCTGACTGCCACAGGAAGCAAGCCGAAGAGAAACGTGCTTCATCTGCGGATAACGGGGCCAACGTCAAGTCGTCTTCCGCATGACTACTTCCGGACATGCAGCATTCTGTCAGCGACAATTTGCAACATTCTGTGAGTGACAGTTTGCAACATTCTGTAAGTGACACTTTGCAACATTCGGTACGTGACAATTCGTTCTCTAGTATTTCATTGTATCACGATCTCATTGAACAGTGCCCTTCTGGCTTCTTCTCGGATTGCGACATGAACGTTGTTTATCTTAGTGATAGTGTTACGCAAGAGTGCTTATCGCACACGGACTCTTCAGACGTGTCGGAGCCGTGTAGTTTACTTACTGCAGCACGTGCTGTCCCCTCACAAGAGGATTTATTGTTGTCAAATCTCCGCACGAGCGGGTCGGCTCTGGATGAGCTAGTGTCTCCAGTTATTCCCTCACATGAGGATGTGTTGTTGTCAAATGTCCGCACACGCGGATCGGACTTGGCTCGGCCAGCGTCCCGAGTAATTTCCTCAGGTGAGGATGTAATGTTGTCAGATCTCCGCACGAGCGGAATGGACTTCGATTCTTCCGCTGTCAAGTTATTGAATGAACTCAGCGTATGTACGTTCGTCACGGATTCCCCAGCGGATCGGCCAACACCCAGCGTAGCAGACTTCGCGAGTTGGCATGCTCGGGTTCGACAGTCAGGCGTACCCAATTTTAAGTCCGAGCGCATTCCGGTACCCACCAAGCTACACGTTTCCGCATGGCGAGGTCTCCTAGATGGTTTTCATGACACTGTCTTATGTGACTTCCTGGAGTTCGGCTTTCCAGTTAATTACGAGTCATCCGCACAACCGCGAGTGCCGCGCACCAACCACCCCTCGGCTTTGCAGTACTCCAGTCATGTGGACAGGTTCATCAGCACCGAGTTGTCGCACGGAGCAACAATAGGGCCGTTGTCGCCGGCCACATTCAGTCCCGGTTTGGTGTGCAATCCGTTGCAGACGGTTCCGAAGAAAGCCTCTCCGGATCGTCGCATCGTAGTGGACTTTAGTTACCCGCCCGGGTCTTCAGTTAACGACGGGATCCCCACCGGGACCTATCTCGGTCAGCCGCATCGGCTTCGCTACCCCTCCATGGATGATTTCATTGCGTTAGTTGTCAACGCCGGCACAGGCTGCCTCATGTTTAAACGCGACCTTCGGCGCGCATACAGACAGTTGTTCGTGGACCCTGCGGATTATCACCTGTTGGGATTCTCCTGGCGTGGTAACGCTTACGCGGACGTGGTCTGTCCCTTCGGCTTACGTTCTAGCGCACAGGCATGTCAGCGCACGACCGACGCCGTCGCGTTCATATATAATAGATGCGGATTTCGTTGTGTCAACTACTTGGACGATCTCGGCGGCGCAGACTCTCCGCACAGGGCCGAGTTAGCGTTCGATACTTTAGGTCGGCTATTACGGTACCTCGGACTGATCGAGGCGGACGACAAAGCCACGCCGCCGTCCACTCGTATTGTCTTTCTCGGTCGCACAGTGGACTCTATTCGCATGACTATCGAAGTGACACCGGAGAGACTTTCCGACACGTTGGCCGAGTTGGACCGTTGGCGTGTCAAGACCAGCGTTCGCCGAAATGAGGTCGAGTCTCTGTTGGGAAAGCTACACTTCTTGGGGTCATGCGTGCGACCTGGAAGATTGTTCGTTTCGCGGATGATATTGTTCCTGCGACGCTATTCGGATCGTCACCAGCGGCTGAGTATAGACTGTGAGTTTCGCAAAGACCTTCTATGGTGGTCTACGTTCTTACCTTGTTACAACGGTGTCTCCTTACTTCCGGTGACCGGCTGGACGGAACCCGACGCTGTTTTCAGTTCAGACGCCTGTCTGACAGGCTGCGGCGGCTTTCTCCACAGCACTGGGGAATACTTCCACGCCACTTTTCCGCCTTCCGTGCTCGCGTCAAACCCTTGCATCAACAGTTTGGAGCTACTGTCCATCTTGGTTTGCGCACGGCTGTGGGGCAAACACTGGGCCGGCAGCAGGATAGTAGTCATGTGTGACAATGAAGCATCGGTTACTGTGTTGAACTCTGGCCGGAGCCGCTCCCCGTTCCTCCAAACCTGCTTACGGAATCTGTGGCTCTGTGCGGCCGTAGGGCAGTTCGAGCTTCGCGCCATTCACATCCCTGGCCTCGAGAATCGTCTTGCTGATCACCTCAGTCGCTGGACGTCTTCCAACTACCACCAGAACGAGTTTCTGCGTTTATCAGCACACATGCACGTCTGTGAGGTAGAAGTATCGTTGCAGCACTTCGATTTACTGACTCAGTTGTAATTTTACAGGTCATCACACGCAGCTGCAGCGCTTGGACCATGAAGTCGAGGCGGCCAAGAGGTCTGCATTTGCCGCGGGTACCTACGCTAACTTACGGACTCAGTGGAAAGCGTTCCTGTTGTTCTGTGAGTATTTCCGGCTTACAGCCATTCCCACCGACGCGAGGACTCTGACCAGATACGCTCAGTTCCTCTCACGCTCCTTGAAGAGCCCCAGCACGGTCCAGATCTACATCCACGGTGCCAGACTGCTCCAACGATTCCACGGGTGCGAGCCTCCGCCATCTGACGCGTTCGAGCTACGTCTTGTCCTTTCCTCGTTCCGCCGACAATCCCAGCACGTTCCGCAGCGTAAACTTCCCATTACTCCGGCTATCCTACTACGGCTGCGGGATCACCTGGATCTAAATAGACCGCTTCATGCCACCTTGTGGGCGGCATACACCGTTGCCTTCTTCACACTACTTCGGAAGTCGAATCTCGTGCCTAAGACAACGTCTGCGTTTGACCCAGGCAAGCACCTGACTCGGGGTGCTATCCGTGTCACTTCGGACGGACTTGTGGTGCGTATAACATGGTCCAAGACTCTACAGTTCAAGCAGAGGGTCCTGCTGCTTCCTGTGCCGGCCATTCCCGGCCATCCCCTGTGCCCACGACATGCGTACGTCAACATGTGCAGCCTTCTCCCGGTTGGATCGGACTCTCCAGCCTTCCTCGTGCCGGGCTCGGCGGGCAGGTTGGTATCATTGACACACGACTCTCTGGTGGCACATCTCAAAACTCTGCTCGCGGCCGCTGGACTGCCGTCCGGTGACTACTCCGGCCATAGTTTCCGCCGCGGCGGAGCGACATTCGCTTGGCATTGCGGAGCAGATCCTCAGCTCATCAAACTGCTCGGTGACTGGAGCTCGGACGCTTTCCAGTCGTACCTTGACAGCTCCTTCGAGCAGCGACGTTCGTTCGCTACTCTACTTGCGACCAGAATCAACCAAGGTTTCCTGGAACCGGACCGGGCCGCAGTATAGACTCATACGAACTCTACACGAACTCACGTTTATTGTTCTACTGTTGATTTATCCGATGCCTTGTACGGTATCTTGTTCTCATGTATATATATCATGTCTTAGCACTAGTTTGACTACCTGTATTAGGCATGACAGGGCAGTCCTCCGTTATCTCCCGTTACTGCTACTAGCGGCCCTGCTCTGAGCCAGTTTTGTACCGTTTACATAACAGACTTGGCGAACTTCCATGTTAGTACCTAGTAGTTCCCGTTGTTCAGCTTGTCCGTCAGTTTCGCCTTTATTATCTACCAATTTCGCAATATGCTTCGGTTCTTTAGCCCACTCATTGTTAGCCAGTTGTCGCCACACCGCAGTGTCGGCTCTTGTTGTACCAGTTCACTATTAGCCCCTCGGCACTTGTTCTACGGATTCATTGTTAGCCCCTCGGCCCTTGTGGCCTTTGTTTCGGCTTCCCTCCCTCCGCCTCTGGCCTCACTACTACACTTACTGCACTCTCCCCACCCTACTCTCTCCCTATGGGCTTGGTCTCGGTGGATTTGAAATGTTACATTAAAATTTTTACCAAGCCCAGCCCTGTATTGTCATCTTGAGTGAGAGTGCAGATAATTGTCAGTATTTGGGGCGCAGAACCAAATCAGTTAATTGACTGCACGGAAATGACTTCTGACCTCCGACCTGAGGTCGCATTCGGTTTCCGTTCTAATAGCGTGCTTAGTGCAGTCACTCTAGCAAATCCTCAAAAAAATCCTCCCACCCTCCCACCCGTGGATTTGAAATGTTACATTAAAATTTTTACCAAGCCCAGCCCTGTATTGTCATCTTGAGTGAGAGTGCAGATAATTGTTAATTACCAAAAGTACATACTATGAATGTCAACCATTGTGAATGAGTATGATTAACATTTGTTAATAAATCTACCATAATACCAGGTAACTAATAAACTTTTAAGATTAAAAACTCTTAACCTACCTTCGTGTTCAGCCTCAGTACAAGGGCACCGTTTCTCAAGTAGACTGCGAGATACGCCGGTCCTCCAAAATACAGCAACAAACCGTTCGACGCTCTATAATACAAGCGATTGACACGTAAGCACAAATTACATTTAAATTTTTAAAGAGAATTAAGTTGTTTTCAAAAATTATTCAGGGTGTTAAAAGATCTGAAAAGACCACGGCAAAAAAACGGGAGCTCATGTGATTACGTCTTCTAAAACAAAACCAGAATAAAACAAAGAAAAACAATGAATATAAATTCTATATTACACAGAAAACGTTTAAGAAACAGTACTGACTTTGTTCTGAACTTGAAATTGATGACGGTGCTGGTGGTCGGTGTTTTGTCGATCTGCATCTCTATGTATGACGTCAGCGTTGTCATGGATACGGTGGACGGTTGTGGGCAGACGTCACAGGTGTCCGAGACGCCCAGGGACTCGTCTGCCGAGGTCAGACTGACGGGACCGAGGTTATCCCCCTCCCCGGTACGGATGTAGAAGATACAGGCGATAGGATAGGCTTTCAGACGCTGGGTATTCAGCTGAATGAGGTGGAAATGGTTATTGGTGCGGTTAGAACCCTTTCGATGTTGTACCAATATGGCATTATTGTTACTTTAGGAACTTTTGCCTTCTTCGTCAAATTAAATAGGCGTAAATGTTTTAAAGATGTTGACGGATTTTAGACCTTCTTCATGACAAATGACCCACTAGTCCGGACACGTGATCTTGTAGGCACGTGACTCCAGCAATAGGTGAAAGATGCCTGGAAGCTGTAGATACAGACGTCGTAACTTTTTACTCTGATGGACGAAAGCTTAGACTGACGTGACTAAAATCGCTATCCTATCAGCCCTTAACAGTAAGAGACTGTTAAACCCAGGCTAGCAAAATTACACACCTTCCATACTATAAACACCAGACACTGAACCCAACCCACCCTGAGATCGAAGATGTTCTTCCCGCGAGCGTCTGTCCCCTCATTGTGGGGCTGGAGAAGCTCAGCTCCGTTACACACAAAAAGACAAGCTTCCATGCTATAAGCACCGGAGAAACCATGCAAACCTACCCTGAGATCGAAGATGTTCTTGTAGCCTCCCACCAGCGTCTGTCCCCTCATGGCGGGGCTGGAGAAGCTCAGCTCCGTTACACACAAAACACAGACAAGTTTCTGTACTATAAACAACACCAGAGAAACAATGCAAACCCACCCTGAGATCGAAGATGTTCTTGTAGCCTCCCACCAGCGTCTGTCCCCTCATGGCGGGGCTGGAGAAGCTGAGCTGCACGGACACGACCGTGAGCAGCTGGGGCGGGTACTCCGTGCCGTTAATGGTGATCCTCATGCCGGAGTCCAGCGCGCGCAGACCCGTGATGATCACCTCGTGAGTCTGGTTCTTCAGGACAACGTCCTGGGTCGACTCACCGATAAACACCTGAAAAGTTAGTTTTTTATTGTTTATTTGTTTGTTGCTTGTTTATTTGTTTGTTTGTTTGTTTGTTTGTTATGAAATACTAAAAGTAGTATATTCCAGTGATGATATTTTCGTCCACACAATTTATGAAATCAGCTGGATACGTCAGGACCACATTCTACATATGGCATTAGTCGTAAAAGCCCGTTTACATAGAAAACCATGCCAACTTCCCGGCGTTGGCATGGTTTTCTATGCAATATCATATACGCCATTTGACTATTCCAATCGTGTGAACCAGATACCGACCACAGACGACGACCGGTCTAACTTAGTACTTTTTGGTTCTGTTAGTGTTACTCTTTCGTTGCTGAAGTTTCTAAAATTTCTTTATGTTTGTCGTGTGAATTGAATACTGTTCAGAAGAAAACATCTGTACACGTACCTCCAGTACCCTGTTATCTATGGACGCTTCGATGTACAGTCTCCCCTCCGTCACTCCTAACGCGAAGTAGTTCCCTCCCTCCCCCTGTTGATAAATGAGCAGTCCCTTGTTGTTACAGTAGCGGAAGCTGAACTCCAGCCTGTCCTCGGCTCTGTCCAGGATGTTCCTGTCGGCGTTCCACAGCAGATACCCGCCTTTATCCACGAACCTCTGGCACGACACATCCCCGAAATACCCGAGGAAGAACACTGAAGAAAAAAACGACATCAATGCCACTTGATTAATTAGTGTAAGTGTTCATGAAAATGTTAGGATCCTGCTTACACCCAGTACTCTCCAAGCAGAGGTTTGGGATTTGGGTTATTTTTGGCGTATTTTTAGGCTTTTTATTTATCGGGGTTTCTTCTTTGCACTGGATTTTTTTTCTCCCAATCCAACACACCCAGTACTTAACGCCTATTTTTGCAATATTGCTATTCTTTTCTAGTGTTTTGTTTTGTAACAGAGGCCTGAGAGGTGAGGAGGTGTATAGACAATACTAGAAAAGAGTACCGGTGTTTCCCAAACGGGCGTGAAACACTGACAGCCCGTATGCTTTACGCAACATCTGCCTAAGAACATACAAAACTTTAAGAAAATCCAATCAATATAATACCTAGTGTAGACTGTGATGGTTAAATTGAGGGCCTTGTAACGCACATTTAAGCGCTTCATGTTAAGGGACTGGTTAGAACCGTTACGTGTCCTTGTCTTCTTAATTCGTGCAAGAAAAAAAATTGGTATCAAGAATATAATATCAGGTACATGTACTACATTTTCCCGCCATTTTCTGCCCCTTGACCTCAAGGACCTAAGGACTAGTCTGGCCACACAGGTGAAAACGTCGGGAATGGCTCATGTGCATTAGCACGTCTTTATGGGGACAAATCTGGCGCAAAAACCGCGCCCTCTTGTCAACGGAACATTTCTTAAACGTGTGTTATGTGTACTGTTTTTCCTAGGCCCTTAAAAGCTCTTAGATCCTCGTGAGATAAAGGTAAGAACAACATGTTTACAGCTTAAAGCGCTGATTGGATGTCTATTCAGCGCGCCTGAATGGAGTTAACCCTGTTCACAGGGGTCAATGCTACAGTAAAGTATCGGGTTGTAACGCGAGCGTTCACACCACAACCGCCCGGGCAATGGATACCTCCTGTCTATTGTCCGCCTTTTACCTCCGCATCCAGGCGTTACGAGTTCGTTTTACACGCCACAGTTTTTCATCACAATACAAGAAGTAGCTACAACAACAAAATATGATTCGTTTTTCAAGTACATTTAAGATTCGAAAAATGAAAATTATGAACCTAACGATGGCTAATTAATTTGTTGTATATTGATGATAAATATGATGTCTTTTATGATGTCATACGAGTACCTACGATTCATGCTGACAGACTATTTGAAAGACCTCACACATTTCCAAATTCGCAAAGTTTAGAAAATGAAACACCACATGATATGGAATATTCGTCATCTTGGATGTAAGGAATTAGTCCTTTACGGTGGCACAAATGCCGAATGTCATCAGGTTTGAACATTTAACGCACATGTGATGTTCAAATCAGGACAAATACAGAAAGTGGGAGGTAGTTCTTTTGTTCCGTATAGTTTCCTTTGTTCCTGAATAACACTTGAAGGACCACCATGTTATGTTCATACGTACTGCTTTCGTGATAAGGTTTGGTGAAAATAACTCAATCTTAGAATTCATTAGAACAACGTAGAGCATCAAAAGTACACTAATCGAGGAAGACTCACACAATTTGGGGGATCTGTATGATAAAAATATGCCCTACTACATAAAGCGTAGATATCGTGTAACAGTGACATGGTAAGTGAAAAGAAAAAGTAATCAACGGAGAACAGGTTCTAACAAAACTGACTGAAAACTTACTTCTAGCTTGCTACTTCAATGATAATTGTTGCATTTGTCGGCTAAGTAATTCGATTTGTCTTCAAGCACGACCACGAAAGTGCATTGTCATGATCGCCTTCAAGTATCATCGTATAAATCAAACTTAAAACGGTCTGGGAAGATATGTGGGAAACGTCATTCATAATTTGTTAGAAATCAAGTGGTACGGGGACTAATTATAAGGAAGGAATACTTACCTATAATCAGGAGCGGTCGGGAGCCAAGGCTCTGGCGTCCTTTCAAAGTTGTAGAGAACATGGCGTCTATACTCAAAGATCCTGCGAACCTTAGAACAGGCTAACAACTACTTCATAACTGTCAGACGCTGATCAACTACCAAGTTCTTCGAGTTGACATTGTTTACATGCCGTTCCCTCGCAGTTGTAGATTCAAACGTAAGCAAGTCCTGCCTTTGTTCTGGACGTTCAGACGTTACATTGTAGCGTCCCTCCGCCCCACCGGACTCACGCTTTCACGGTTCAACATTACTCCGACAACAATAAACACGTTAGTCACCCCTCAACCCTATTGTACAATATAGCGAGACGGCAACTCTATCCGCCCGCCGTACTTGTGTACATGTACTCCACACAGCCCGACAACGTACCGGTCTCTTGTAAAAATAAAACACTTCAGATCGCCAATGTACTTGCCATTTAGGAAACGGGACCACTCGATCAAATATCAGGGCTGCACGATTTTGTTGACAGATAAATAGCTTGATGCCGTGACTACATCAATCTTAGGACCCGGCAAAAAGAAGCGAACATTGTCGATTGCCCCTAACACGGACCGTTGACAAAGAGTCGTGGGTTATTGTCGCTAATGTTTTTCGTCACAGTTTTAAACTGGACCACTGCGGCAGTATTTTGACACGAAACAGAAATCAGGCGGTGCACGTGTTTTCCTTTTGTTCTTTTTCACGGCTTTAGCCTCTCTTAAAGTTAGGAAGACATTATAGTTTGCAACAGGCTAGGCATTTGCTAGTAGCATGAGCCCATGATATGGTAGCGCTCTGGAGGTCAGTAGACATGCCCTTTCCATCTACTGACCTCCAGAGCGCTAGTTCTGCATACAACATGTTCATATCTGACCTGTAGCATATTGTTAGCTGTACAGCAAAACTTAGACTTTTTACTAACAAGCAATTACTTATCCTGAACTAAATATCTTGAGTCTTCATTTCTTGATTTCAATCAAAGGTCCAATGCAAACAAATGTACTGCTGACAAACGTGAATTGAATTTTATGCTATTTTCTCCTAAAAATCGTCGACCGGCCGCACGTTTTGTTTTTCAAATTGTGAGCACACTGTCCTAGAAATAGTACATAATTGACTTTTCCTATCTAAGGTTACCCTTGCATCCTGTGACATCTGTGAGTTCCCAAACTACATAGACGATGTTACGGCATCGTTTGTGCGGTGTGCAAATAGACCCAGACTGATATAAAGGCGATCTGCACACCTGTTGAGGTACATAGGGTTGTCTGTAGGAGTGCTGTGTCGGACGGTAGCTCCTGTCTCTCCTGCCGGTACAAGATGAAGGGACTTGCCGCCTTCCTCCTCTCGGTCCTGCCGGCCCTGGCCGCCGCCCACTCCTGGATCACCTGCACGGACTATCTGGAGATGAACGGGGAGTACTGGGACCACACGCTGTGCAGGGCCTTCCCCAGGTCTGCTGCAAGGTAGGGCTTTCTTTCGTTATTTATTTCTGCTGTTATTCAAGCATTGGCTCTTTTCATTATTGCCCTCTTTCATTCTTTCATTCCTTCCTTCTTTCTTTTTCATTCATTTATTCATTCATTCATTTTTTTCTTTCCTCTTTCTTCTTTCTTTCTTTTTTCTTTCTTTCCTCTCTTGTCCTTCTCTCCATCTTTGATGTCAAAATACGCTTAGTTACATTTTACATAGCTGAAGATTGAGCAAAATCAAATACATAGCTTTTTTCCGTTACTTTGTATTTCAAACGATGTGTCAAGTGTTTGCGTTAAAATAACTTTCCAAACGTGAGTGAACCATCACTTTGGTACTGTACTTTTGATTTAGTTCATGCCAATAAAAAACAGTGCGTGGTTCGTGCCGGTTCCAGGATGGTTCCCCGGACGGAGCAGTTCGGCTCCCACGACACGTACTCGTACTTCCCGAGCCCCGGCGCCGTGTGCCGCACCTCCCGCAACGACGCCACCGAGTACGCCGCCGACCACCCCATGGCCACGTACTACCAGGGGCAGACCGTCATCCTCACACATCCCACCAAGGTACATGCTTTGTTTAAAGTTAAAACTTTAGATCCAATACAATAAAGTTCTCTTTCGACTAGTCACTCTGGTCTTCCTCAGTAGACTAGGTGAGATAACATTATTGTGTTGTATCTTAAGTTTTAACAGGTAAACTTTAAACATGTAACTACCAACAGAGAGGAACTTCCATGAAGGTACATGCTTTATTCTGAAAAAGAATAACAACATAAATCTTACATAAAATAAATTCGATATGTGGTCATATTGAAGGTCGATCGCATACGTCGCGTGATCGTTCCATTATCGCAAACTGATTGTATTCTTGTGATAGCCGTGTACGTAAGTACCCTGCAAAATTCAGCTGTTTTGTTACAGAAAACGCGCTCCTGAATTGCTTCTAAGTCAATCTCACTCTGAAGCAAGGTATTCTCTCGACATACGTAAAAAATCCACTTGTTATCTAAAAGCAGACCAAATTGACGATCCGCATGTGTGAATTGGCAGATGGCAGAGTTTAAACAGTATGATAACCTGTAGGAAGACCGACCTTTGCTTACCGCCTTGTTTGCCCAGATTGTGTGAATCGATCGATGCATCCTGCAGTACCATATTGGAGTCACTCGAGCTCTCTAACTTTATTTGTACAGTTATTGCTAAGAATCGTTTGTTGCTGCTCTTGTTGCTAGTGCTGTTGCTGTACCTAAAACTATTAAAGGACATTCTTGTAGGTCGACTTTAAAATTGCACAATTCAAGATACAAGGCTCCATTTCACTAAGCGCCTGATTACATATACTCCGTGCGATAGTAAGGCCATGTTGATTTGATTATATGGATGACATCCGCGCGCGCATGAATTTTCGGCCGTTTCCAAAAAAAAAAAAAGTTTCCAACCACACTGTAAATTGTACAAAACAGTTGCAAAATGAGCAAATATATACCGAAAGTTGCAAAAAAAAAATATTTGAAAACGATTCCAACGTCGTACAATGCGAAAATCAAACAAAAAACTAAAATGCAAAGAAATGAATTTAAAGAGTAGATTATTCGCCATACCCTCCCCTGTGTCATTTGTTCGACCTTCATAACAACGTAGATTTCATGAAAGCAACGTTTTTTTTTTGTCAAAACTTTTTTTTATTCGCGCGCTCGCATCAGTTTTGGGGTTCCCAGAGGATGTCATCCATATAATCAAATCAACATGGCCTAATACGACATTCTTGGGATAGTAGTGCATGTGTCGTTGTGTCAAAAAAAAATCCAGCTGTCGTGTTATATTTATGGAAAGAACTGCTCCTTGTGGGCGGTCGGTTATGCTACAGTACCGTGGCCGACAAGAACAAAATTTTACACCGCAACTTTTGGTGTTTTACACTGCAACTTTGGGTGTTTTACACTGCAACTTTGGGTGTTTTACACTGCAACTTTTGCTGTGTTTTACACTGCAACTTTTGCTGTGTTTTACACTGCAACTTTTGGTGTTTTACACTGCAACTTTTGCTGTGTTTTACACTGCAACTTTTGCTGTGTGGAAAACTTACACCCCTCCCCTTTTATAATGGACGGTCCCCCTGTCAGGTCAAAGGTGACAACGATGGCATGCAAACTACGTCGACTGAGTTATCCTTTTCGTGCATAAGTTTTTTAGAGGAAAAGCTTGGCTACGTTGTGACGTTAGTTTTTTTCTAAAGGTTTTTCTAGCTTTGGCCTATAGACCGGGATAAATTAAAAAATGTTTCGACCAGGTCCAGTGATTACAAATTATGTTGCTTTTTGCTGCCATGCGTCACAACAAATTTATCAAGGACGTCAGATATCCAGCTCCAGACATCAACAGCAATGACATAAATTTTCTGCAGGTTAGTTCATTATTATTGGGTATGGACATCGTTTTTCTTCATTTTAATGTCCCTAGACGTCAGCTTGTGACTTGCCGCCGCCATCTTTGTCACCTTTGACCTGACAGGGGGACCGTCCATTATAAAAGGGGAGGGGTGTAAGTTTTCCACACAGCAAAAGTTGCAGTATAAAACACAGCAAAAGTTGCAGTGTAAAACACCAAAAGTTGCAGTGTAAAACACCAAAAGTTGCAGTGTAAAACACCAAAAGTTGCAGTGTAAAACACAGCAAAAGTTGCAGTGTAAAACACAGCAAAAGGTGCAGTGTAAAACACAGAAAAAGTTGCAGTGTAAAACACCCAAAGTTGCAGTGTAAAACACCAAAAGTTGCGGTGTAAAACACCAAAAGTTGCGGTGTAAAATTTTGTACTTGTCGGCCACGGTACTACCGCCTTACAAATTCCACGACATCAAAATCATGCGACGACCTACGGCAAAGGTCATTTTATAGGCATTATTAGATAATCACGATCATAGCATCTTCAGTTTAATTCTTTTTCCCTCGATAGAACCACGTTGCCGACGTCAAGTGCACCAACAAGTACATCCCGGATAACGGGAACTGGATCGCCGTGGGCCCGGTCAACGGTGCGACCGACCCAGGCATGTTCGACGGGCCTGAGTGGACTGAGATCGCCGACATGGGCAAGGCGCCAGTCGGTAAGACTTATAAGATACGCCCTTTGCGGGGAGATGAAGTCTATGGAATTACCGTGCAGAAAGCCAGTTCACAATGCAACGTTATTGTATGTGAATGTGAAAGAAATCTATGATTTTGTGTTCCAAATCTCCAACGTTTCTACCTTTAAAATGATTATTCAAATTGTAGCCATTCTACACCATGTACTACGAATTCTTGGACGAAAATATGTATTTTTTGAAATGATATCGCCGTTATTGCTATTCAATTTTTCTGATCGAATGATGTTTCACATCCATCCTGGATGTTAGGGTATGAGATCCCGGATGCAGTGACGTCGACCTACCCGAAGCCAGGGTTCCAGAACGCGCCCAAGTTCTGTGAGAACATGGACAAATCCATGGGCACCTACAACTTCACCATTCCCTCCAACCTCACACCTGGTAAAATGATTTCTAAACCTTGCTGAGAATACCATCAATATTCTAAATACAGCACTCGCATTATACAGCTTACTGTTGCAAGCTACTTTTGTACTCTAAGAACCTACAGAAAATTACATGTCTAAACGTGAGCGACTTTTTATTACTTGGTTTTAGAAATAATGATTTTGAACCGCTAGATACAATATACAAGCCCCCCCCCCCCAGTATACATGTAATGCACTGTCTCCTGTGTATCAAAACTATGCATACCTGGCTTGCCTGGGAAATCTATAAAGCACACCGAACTTGCAAATAATTGTAACCTGGTGGGTGAATGATTATAATAGTGTTTAATAGTATTGTTGTCCTGACCAGGCCGGTACACGTTCCTGTGGAAGTGGATCTTCAACGCCGGGGAGCTGCCGTACACTAGCTGCTGGGAGGCGGACGTGGTCGCCACCAAGGAGGAGAGGAACGCCATCTACACTAACATGGTACACACAGGTCCTGTCCACAAATGGAGAGAGAGCTGAGAGAGAGAGGGAGAGACAGAGAGACAGAGAGAGAGAGAGAGAGAGAGAGAGAGAAAGAGACAGACAGAGAGAGAGACAGAGAGAAAGAGAGAAAGGGAGAGAGAGAGGCGCGAATTCGTTGTCAAGCGAATGTTTGATATTTACCGAATCTTTGAAAGTGTGAGTTTGATGGCTGAAATACAACAGGAAGGCAATGTATATGATCACAACAAATCGGAGTGTTATGCGATATTTTTTTTTCAACACAGGGCTTGTCCACAATCGACTTCTGGTACGCTGGTGGAACCACGCCCGTGGTGCCGCCTGTCATCCCTGTGGTGGACGGTCTTGGAGGGGTGAGGTTTCAGCGGTTTTGCTTTGAACTTTGTTTGTTTGTTTGTTTGTTTGTTTGTTTGTTTGTTTGTTTGTTGTTCTAATTCGTTATGTGTACTCATGAAATGTAAAAGCCGATTTCGTACGTAGCAAAAGAAGCATCCATACAACTAGAATTCTTCGTTCTCAGCAATGCGGCATTGATTTCAATGTTCATTCTGATTGATCTAGACCTGTTTGGTAGATTTTGGTCCCCAACGTCTTACCGCTTCCACTTGTCTTTCAGTCGGACAACACTGGTACTGATACCGGTACCACCGACAATACTGGCACAGGTACCACGGACAACACTGGAACCGGTACTATCGACAATACCGGCACCATCGACAACACTGGTACCGGTACCATCGACAACACCGGAACCGGTACCATCGACAACACGGGTACTGGTACCACCGGGGGTACCATCATCCCCCTGTCCTTTGCCTTTAACGTGAACGCGTGGCCCGGTGGCGGCCAGGGTACCATAATCCTGCCCAGCCCCCGCCCATCCGGGGACTGGTACGTGGAGATTAAGTTCCCCTGCGCAGGATCCACCTTGGTTTTTGACGTAAGTATATATCCCTCTATGTTTAAAGTTAAAACTTTAGATACAACACAAAAAAGTTCTCTCAGTTAAAGCTTTCGACCAGTCTCTGACTTAAAACTTTCATTCATTCATTCATTAAATGTTAACCAGGTCATTTTATTTTATTTTACTTTATTTTCTAGACTTGGCACGGTGACCAGGTTCAGACGGCTGACGAGCAGGCCCACGGGATCTTCAAGCTCACGCAGACGGGCTGGCAGCTGGAGAAGGACGACATCGGCTTCGTCGTCAACACCATGGCGGGCTGCTTCGTGGACGAGAACCAAGTCACGGCCCAGATCGTCGCCAACTGACGCGTTACAGTCACGCACACTGACGCGTTACAATCAAGCACACTGTTTCGAAAGGCTGGCTTGTGTGTGGGCGGGCTGACAATGCCCTTACGGGGACCATGGCCATATGATGTCTTGATTAAACTCTGCAAATGATCGTCGTGTTGTTTTGTTGCTGTTGTAGTAGTCATCACTAATGTTAAGAAAATATGAGATAAAGAAGTCTATTGAGGACTAAGAGAATAATTTAGAAACAGAAGAAAACGACACACACACTAACAATGTCAATGTCAAATGAAACTGACTCGATTTTTTTCCGAGAAAGGATTTTATCTTTTGGGTACCATGTATACCATAAATCACGAAAGACTCTATACAAGATACACATTCTCGAGCTCATCCTTTGCTACAATTTTGCTGCCCTGTTACACAATCTCTAACTATCAGTGACTGAATGGGTTAACCTGACCAGTGGAAAAGCCTGCTAGAGCCGTGATTCAGTCAGGCTACCAAAAGTGCCGAGCGAAATAGCTTTCTCGATAAGAAACCAACGAAATGAAGTCCTGAATTTTATCTTTCAGATTTCTTTTCCTGGGGAAGATTAGGAGATCTGGCTTACTCTGAGCCAAATCTACTTTTATTTATCACTAATAATTGGCCCTGTCCCTAGTGCTGAAACGACATTCACAGTGCCTTAGTCATCTTTCATTCTGTCCATTATCCTTGTAGGATCTTCATTTTGTCACGATGTTCATGAAGTGCATCCTTACTGTCATTGCTACTTGTTGACTAATAGTGTGACAGTCTGTGACTAATAATGATGTGACTAGCAATTTACCAATATGCCGCCCCCTCCCGCACTTCACAATGAATGGTTCGTTCCAACTCTAGCCGTCACGTGATCGTCACAAAATGGCTGCGCCCACACATTTTTGACGCCACAGCGAGTTTCTCCTTCCTTCCTCGCACGTACGTTTCCTGCCAAATTTCTCACAGTTTTACCTTCACAGCAGAATGGCCAGTCCGTCAGAAGCCAGACATCGCGCCCTGTACAAGGCGGGGACGTCCCCGTGGCGAGATTCGTTCCGGAGACGCTGCCTGGACCGACTGAAGTCGAGCCGAGCGAAGATCGTCAACAGGTTCCGAGTGGGCCTGGGGGAGGAAGCGGCCGGGGCGCAGGGCGGCGAGTCCGACGTCGTGCGAGAGGTATACTATTTTACGGTCTCTAATAGACTAAGTACGCAGGCATCTTAGCATAATTTGCCAGGGGAGATGGTATTTTCCTACGCACTACCTTTACCCACGGCGGCTCACACCCTAATAGTACATGTACTTCGCCGGATTCTACTTCTAGTAGAGTATGACTATCGTACCTTGACATATACCTCGATACCTTGTGCTAGTATCCATAACACTTGGTGCCTAGTGGTAGCTATTAGAAGTGATGACAATTTTAGACCGCTTACGTGTTGCACAAGGTCACTACAGCTGCAGCGTATGTATGTGAATGTTGAATGCAATTTTCTATTTTTTTGATAGCAGCTGTTAAGTTGGTTTTCACATGCCATATTAGCTGTTCCAAAGAACACATGTTCAATGTTTACATACATGTGGTTTTTCAGGTGATGGAAGAAGAATGGAAGCGGCTGTTACAAGAAGACAGCGTCACTCCCTCCAACTCTCCCGTCTCCGCCGGCGCAGAAGACGACTTGGACTCCATCTTGGCTCTCATGGAGGACATCAAACAAGAACTGCTGAAGGAGGAGCACTCCATCCTGGCACAGCTGGACGCGGAGATGCGGTACGAGGAGGAAGCCATGTTGGCCACCGTGGACCATCACCATGGTAACGACGGTGTCACGTGTCCGGTGTGCATGAGCAACCCCCTGCTGCAGAACAAGAACGTCATCTTCTGTCAGTGTGGCGTGAGGATCAACACGGAACAGGACTGTATCGGACTGCAGCACGTCAAACAGCGACTGACGGACTGTGTGACGGAACACGCGGAGAGCTGCGCAGCACAGCCGGGGTTCACGGTAGCCGACCAGTGCGGAATTCAGAACTTGGTGATGGCCTGTGCCGCTTGTGATGCCTTACAGATTGTGATCTGAATCCATCAGTACCACACTGTATCAGAAAGACTCATGTTGCCATAGATTCAGCTTACAGATGGTATAGCTCATTTCTGATTATAAGAAACTGTATATTATACAATTTTTCCTGGCGTTGCTGAAGAAGGAGTCATAAACTACTTGATGGTGGCAATATCTTGCAACATTCTTTTTTATGCCTTCAACTTTTTCCACAAACCTGATTAGTTTTTTTTTACATCTGGAACTTTTGAAAGTATAGATCAACCTGTACAGAGTGACCTAACCATTTGAAATGATATTTTCCTAAGTGATGATGACACCTTCTATTGTCAGTTCATGAAAGCTGGCCAATAAAGTAGATTTGATCTTAGAGGTTGGAAATAATTGTTGCATACGCCATATTGTTGACCAATAGGCCTTACCTTACTGATTGTTATATATAGCCATGCTGATATTCAAGGGAAGGGGCAGACTCTATTTTTATACTATTTCTGTTGCTGTTGTTTAAGGGATGAGTTTGTTCATGTGCACACCCCAGCCCACCCCCGAAATCATTTTTTTAAATTTGATACCAACTTTTGATCATATGGCTCTTATCTTTTGAAACATTTCTGTTGAAGATGAGGAAACATACTTGCTGCTGGACTTGTTCTTTGTGATGCCTTTGGACCCTTTCTAGAAAATATAAAAAATGTGCCAATATTGTTCAGAAAATTGGGTGGTCATGAATGAAGGATAATAGAGGGAGAAGAAAATAGAAAAAAAAATTATACAAATGAAGACAGAACAATTCTAGCTAGCTTTGTAACAACTTATTACATGTGATGCATTGGAACTGGTGCAAAGGAAATGTTTCATATAACCATTGTTTGTTTCCCACGAGTCATTATATTGTTGTACTGTTATAATATGTATATGCTGTACTGTATGTATATGACTGTAAAGAAGAGAAAATAAAGTTTTTCTTTTATCATTATGAATGGTTGATCATTATCTTTTATCATTATGAAAGGCTGATTATACTGCTAGTTCTTTCTTATGAGCAACAAAAATGTTCTGTATTGTTTGTTGTCATGTGACAGAAGAAAACAGACATATATATTTGAAACTTCAATAAACACAGTTATTGATAATCTGTATGCAAAAAGACGCCCACAATGTTGCCTTTCCTGCTCGGTCCAAAGATCACATGGCCAGAGGCTACCTTTATTTAAAAAACAATTCCGTAGGGAATACATTCGTGCAATTTTGCATTGCGTCGCCAAAAAGAAGCACTAAGACATGCTTTGCATCGTTTGTAAAATATACATTTGTAGTTTTAACATTTACTGAATACTTACATGGCGATATTTCACGCATCCTTCGATAGCTCAGTTGGTAGAGCGGAGGACTGTAGTGGGCTTACGTTGGAATCCTTAGGTCGCTGGTTCGAATCCGGCTCGAAGGAGTTATTTTTGTCTACAGTGCTCTGTACGTAGAGTACTGGAAGAAATGTGTGGATTTAAATTTGTTTACCTTTTTGCCTTCGCAAGGAAAAAGATTATATCCTGACTGTATGCATACGGACCTCTTCCCTAAGAAATATTCAGGTTGAAAAAGACGCCGTTGACCAACCGAGGAATATATTATTCAGTCATAGCTACTCATCTGTATATTCTTGTTTTGAAGGTGAGAGAGCATTTTATGTAAGAATCCATAATAATCATACAATTTATTAACCATAGAATGATCTCTTGAATTAATTTGGAGCGTCTAGAAGCTACCGAAGAGTAATCTCCAAGCAGATGAATTATTCGGCTGAGTTTCGGGACGCCTGTTTTTGCAACAATCTTGTACCTTTAACGGATCGCCTATTTCTGAGATGAAGCATACTTTTCTTCCCAACTGTATGAACTGATACAATAACAGAAACCCACATCTTTCCAATCTAGCAGCAAGACGAACAAATTACACTTCCGTCTTCCTACCTCTGCTTGGAGATATCACATGTGTTCCTGGGAACGAGAGGCGTCATGCGACAGTCATGTGACCTCATCACAAGGTCATCACCCGGTCAAACAAGATGGCGCCTCTTCGGGTAAGTTTTGCAATTTCTGTGCCTTATTGTTGGATTTTACATCCTTTCCAGTCGAAAATGTTGTTCAATATTGACTGCAATAGAAAGTTTAAAATCTTAGGACTTTGGCTATGTGGTTGACGAGTGCGATAGTTGATGAATATAGCCGTAACTTGGTGATGTTTTTCGTTAATCTACCACGTAGGCATGCACAGAACGCGTACGTGCCTGGGGGTGTGTCTGTGATAGCGATCGCTCATTGGCTGTCACCCGACGCGCCCACCTTTTTTTCTAAATATGGAATGATATCGTTCAGTCCCGTCCAAGTCCAAACGACTATAAAGTTATCTGTTGTGAATAATGTTTTGTTAGAAGTAGAAGCAGTTAAGTATGTGTCCTTAAACATGCTTCTTGGATTATCAACGTTAGCATAATTAAGCATAATGAGATTTACCTACTGCAAAATATTGTCATAAAAAATGCAAACTGATAACGTTATATGGTTTAACGAGCCATTCAGTTCTGTCTGTTGCAGTTGGTGTGTTAACAAAGTTTTTGTTCAGCTTATATTTTGTCAGCTGAGGATGCCTTCATGTAAACAATTACGTTAACAGATTTATCAGTGTAACAAAACATAAGCTGGATGCAGCTTGTACATGTTTTTACATATCCCAACATTTTCCACAACTCTGTTACAGTATCTATCAGGATTTGGCAGTGAGTTTGCATCAGAAGATCCCAGATGTCCAGGATCTCTGCCTAAAGGACAGGTAAGGGTTAACTGTGATATATTTTTCAAGGTAACATAATTTGCGTAGTATCAGCTTCTTTGTAAGTGAAATCATATGACAGTTTCTGACTGGGTCAAAGATATGATTACATGCTACATGTAACGTTTAGCCAAGACATTTTCAATCACACTGCTTGCCTAAAGCATGACAAAATAAGCTAGGAAGAAAATCACCCTCACCCCAAATTTGGCAACAGAATCTTCAACTACTAGTAGATGAATGCGGTCGCCCAACAGAAAGAAGACCCTTTTTCACTTCAGAACTTCCCTCGAGCTTGTTCTGTTGATCCATGAAAATTAGTCATTGATATATTGAAATAATCTGTCCACATCCACATCATTGCGTTTGGATGGCAAAATAAATTTTGTTGCTATTTGCTACGACAGCAGGGTTGTGTAACTTATCCATCTCTTGTTTTCCATCCAGAACACTCCCCAGAAGTGTCCCTATGGGCTGTATGCAGAGCAGCTGTCTGGTTCAGCCTTCACCGCTCCCCGCACTCACAACAGACGCACGTGAGTTAACCCTGGCTTTCTTCACTAAACAGTTACTGGTACTGACTGTTGTGCTGTAGTGTTGTTCCATGGAATCAAGTTTTCAACCTGCTTGGTAAAATGACAGTTTGACAACAACCCCCTACAATACTCTTGTTAAATATAGTCAAAAGGCAACTACTTATCCAGATTTTTCTGGGACATCTTGCTCTGATCATGATTTCTTCCTGGGACAGCATGTTGTGGCTACTGTAATATAACTTGTGTACCTTTGTCTGAATATGCAGGTGGCTGTACCGTATCCTGCCTAGTGCTGTCCACACCCCCTTCAGTCCAATGGAACAGCCCTACTTGACACATAACTGGAAGTCGTCTGACCCAAACCCCAATCAGGTATATACAAATGTATATAACTGGCACCCAGGCAAAGTTTTCTCAGCACTGGAATGTGTAGATGTAATACTTACTAATAATACTTTCTCATATAGTTTTCTATATACACCTTCCACTTGAACATGTCCTAAAAGCATGTTTTTAAAGAAAGAATATCAATATGTAGGTGTTAAAGATAACACAACATAGATCCAAATATCACTGCCAATTTGAACAATTTTGTTCTGTTTCCAGATGAGATGGCATCCCTTCTCCATTCCCCATATCAACAAAGAAAAGGTGGACTGGGTTCAGGTAGGTTTGGGCATTATCTTTTCATTATTGAAATTATGAAACATTAAAGAACAAGTTTGAATGTTACTTTGGCCAACAAATGATGTTCTTTGTTTAAACTTTTGGAAGAAATTTCATGTTATGTTTACGTAATGATTACTTCCTGTAGGGTCTACACACAATCTGCGGAGCGGGGGACCCCTGTGCACGACATGGCATATCCGTGTACGCGTACATGTGTAACACCTCCATGGTGGACACCTGCATGTACACTGCTGACGGGGACTTCCTCATCGGTACGTGGGCATCAGATTTTATCTGCAGTATAACTCATTATTTATGTCAATTTGAAAATACACTTTTAGATTGGCTGAATAGATTAGCTCTTCTACATGTAAATTACATGTACATATACTTTGTGACATTTGCTAGGATCTAGGACACTCAAATTTATACAAAATGTAATTGCTAATGATATTATAAAATGTGTGGGGAGAGGGGCAGGGTTACAGATTCACAACAATACTGATATGCAGAAGCATAATTTGTTGTTGCCAATGTTATTTTCCAGTGCCAGAAAAGGGAACACTACACATCACCACAGAGTTTGGCAAGATGGATGTATTCAACAACGAAATCTGTGTCATACAGGTGGGATGTACAAGCCTTTCACTGCTGCTTGTGTTCACATGTGTTTGAAAAAAAAACAGTTCAACAAAATGTTTTATCTCAAATTGCTGGTATTTTGTACATTAAGTTTTACTACTAGTATTTAAGGAACAGTGCTCTAAGAGAGTGTTTCTAAGATATGATATGTTTTGTCCCCAATGTAGCAAGGCATGCGGTTCTCTGTGGAAGTAGATGGGGAAAGTCGTGGTTACGTGCTGGAAGTCTTTGATGGACACTTTGAACTTCCTTGTCTTGGCCCAATAGGTAGGTTTTCAAGTAGCTATTACTAGTGCAATACAACTTGACTACAGATGTTTTAAATGTATGTTTGGATGGAAGAAAGCTGATTGATTTGATCTTTTCGTCGTGTAGGAGCCAACGGCCTGGCTAACCCGCGTGACTTCTTGACTCCGGTGGCGTGGTACGAGGACAGGAGGGTTCCCCACGGGGGGTACACCGTCATCAGCAAGTATCAGGGCAAACTGTTCCAGGCACACCAGGTAAGGCATCTTTAAGTGTCCATGGATAGGTGTGGCTCTACTCAAACACTTCTGGACTTCTGCTTCTGTGCTTTACGTTTTATGCTCACACTTTAAAACAAGTCACATGTGTAGCTTCTTGAAGTCTCCTGGCAACTTAAAGAAACTCAAACCACTTCCCTATTTGAGACAAAAGCACAGTAGGCCATGTCGGACAAGGCTTAGTGACCTACAAGCATTAGCCCACTGGGCAAGCCATTTTCCTAGTCTGACTCCAGTCATTAGTGACTCCATCTTTTTATCAAATGTATATGTTGCTACAGTTGTAATGTGTGTGTGTTTGATTCCCCAGGACCAGTCCCCCTTCAACGTGGTTGCATGGCACGGGAACTACGTACCATACAAGTACAACCTGGAGAACTTTGTCGTCGTCAATTCTGTGTCGTTTGACCACATGGTGAGCTCAGTAACCTGCTGTATCACCTACTTTTAGTGTGCAACACCTCATGGGTACTGACATCATGCACATCTGTGTCTTATGTAGAGCTACAGCCAATATTCAAAATGTTTGCATGCTTGAAAGTTGTTTCTTTCACATTTTTGTAATGCTTGTAATGAAATATGCAATAGTATAATGACATGCAATAACGGGGAAATGGAGGAAACTTGCAGCAGCTGACCAATGATAATAATGCAGTAACATATATAATCTTCTAGTCAGCTATTTAAGGTGCAAAATATCTCTGACTGTTACCGGTATTGCTTACTTAATTTGCTGTTTTCTTTGTGTTCCACAGGATCCTTCCATCTTCACAGTGCTGACCTGTCAGTCCGTCAAACCGGGCGTGGCCATCGCCGACTTTGTCATCTTCCCTCCTCGCTGGTCGGTGCAGACCAACACTTTCCGCCCACCATACTACCACAGTAAGTACAACAGCTCCCTCTAGCACGTACCATGTGCACTGCAGCACAGCAAATGATCTTTTTCCTTGTTGCATGTTTGTAATCCTGTAAGCTTTTCTAGCACAATCCTGAGAATGCCTTAAGTTGGTCAGCCATCTACTTGTTGCTGTTGGGCAAATTCTTTTGCTATCTACAGAGAAAAAAAAACACATTTATTGTCCTTTATACAGGAAACTGCATGAGTGAGTTTATGGGGCTCATCAAGGGGTCGTACGAGGCCAAAGAGGAGGGTTTCCGCCCGGGCGGGGCCACCCTACACAGCATGATGACCCCCCATGGACCGGACGCCGTGTGTTTCGAGGGGGCATCGAACGCTGAACTCAAACCACAGAGGATCGCAGAGGGCACCATGGTTTGTTTTCTTTTGTTCTTTTTTAGTCATTTTCCCCTTGTGTGTTGTCTCTCTTTTTTTAAGTTGTAACTTGTATGTATTATATAGAAGGTCTACAAGAACATAATGAAATACATTGGCGATATTTACTGGTATGGGTAGTTGTTAACTGTTTACGTACGTAGTTGTTTATCTGTTTGACAAGTGGCTTGAAGCAATGTTTGTTCATGTTTCCTTGCCAGGCGTTTATGTTTGAATCGTCCCTGAGCATGGCCCTGACAGAGTGGGGACAGAAGACCTGTGAGTGTGTGGATGCTGAGTACTACAAGTGCTGGCTGCCTCTCAAGTCACACTTCAACCCTGACTGGAAGCCAGAGTAAGCCATTAAGTACACTAACACAGGGATCTAATGCACTGCACCACTGATAGAGTGTGCTTCTAAGTGACATCATTGCCATGTCTGCTGCCATGTAGGTGTCCCTATTGTACTACTGTTTACTACCCTACTGTGTACACCTGAGCTGTGGTCTATTGAAATGGAATTTGGGACACCAACATGGCAGTCTCCACCTGCCTGGTTCACTGATATGGAAGGTTTGTGACAATGCTCTGCAGGACATTTGCGCTCACATGGCTGTGGCATAAGCACTGTCGGCTGTTGGATAGTTTTGCATCATTGAGAATGGCAGCTGTGATGTCACCTGCAAACACAATTATATTGTTTGAAACAGCATGTTTCATTTTTGTCTTCTATAATTCTTTTGATGTATTTTGCTTCTATTGTCCATGCTCAATATCATCATATTCACATCAGCATGTATGCTTTTTATCATATTATATATTGTAATTACTGCCATATAGGTTTCCTTAAAAGGTAGCACATACAGGCCACAAAGCAAAACATACTTCTCAACTTTTCTTTGCTATATTTCAAGATGTTAAGCAATTGTACTTTGCTGCACAGTGTTTAAATGACTCAAAAATGTCAGATGCAATTGCCGAAAATAGCATCCAGGATTTGAACTTCACTTTCAAGAAAGTCAATATTTTTTAAGATATTAGATATCTTAAGCACTAGGAGGGAGTTTTATGAATTATCAAATATTAATAATTCTTTTCTGCTATAGTGGAGGGCTCTATGTTGTTAGCTGCTGCATTGGTGAAAGAGGCCTTAATTTATTTTGATATGCTACATGTAATATTTTTGTTGCTTCCAATGCAAAGGCATAAGGCTTGACTTAAAAAAGAATAACAAAGTTATTGTCAGTGAATTCTACAAACTGAAGATAATACAGTTAAATGTGACAGAATTAAATGTTATTCAGTTTGCCTATCATATTCATTGTGAAACAATATATAATGCCATGTCATTGTAGACACACTAGGTTTGTTACATTATGCCATATTAAACCATTGCATTACTTTTTTGTTTGTACTTTTTTCTTGTGATGTATGAATGGGTTTGTGCTTTTGCATCTTTGAGGATCATAAGTTAATGTAGATGTGTACTTATTTTCTTTGTCTAGTTCAAGCATGCCTTAAGTTGGTGATTACTCCTGTTATGGTGTTCTCATTTATAGGAAATTATTTTAGATAATGAAAACAAGCTTCTTAAATTCCCTTGTTTCTTTTCTGCATTTGGAAATATCAAATATCAGACACTCATCACCACATCTTGTTTTCTGTCCCATGTTAAAAGCAGCACAGTGGAGGATGATGCAGTGACTCATTTTTCCTTCTGAGAAAAGTGAAAATGTGATATTTCCTTCTGACGAAATGTAATGTCCACTCTCATATTTCGACCAGGTACCCTAAGACTTCCACATTAAAAAAAGCAATGTTATTGAGGCCTTCTTAACAATGTCTTGGGTATCCGAAGTGTGTATACTTTCAGGAATAACTGATGCTGCATTAGAAGATCTCTTTAATTCACCTTTTTTATGTGGTCACAGGTCTTAAGGTACATGGTAGAATTATGAGAATGGACCTTAGATTGTTGATACTGTAAAAATAAATGGTGTGTGTATATGCTTCATCAGTGCCAGTGAGCTTGTATACCTTTGAATTCGTCATTTAATTGATGCAAAATAGGTTTTATCTGCTTTAGCTAGCTTAAATTATGTTGAAACAAAGGGGAAATAGAGGAAGAAATTTCAAGTTCCAAACATCAAGTCTCTACCAATGCTGAGTAAATTATTACTCATTGAAAAGCCTTTGGTTTATGTAGACAATGTAGATGGTGTATGGTTTGCTCCATATTCACAGTGGTGTTGTAGTAATTCTTAGTTTTCAAGTGAATGTTTTAGCTGAAACAGAAGCCCACAAGAGCTTCAATTGTTGAAAAGACAATGGTTACAAAATATGATTGTACAATATTGTATAGCCTGATCGTCAGGTAGCTTGGCTAGCAGTTTTTGTCTGTATAGACTGTTATGTACTCAGTCAAAGTACTTGGTCAAGATGTAATAGCTGAAAGTGATCAAATCGGCAAGCCTTTGAGGCTATGACTATGTATGGTTACATAGATGTACTATTGTTTAGGGCAAATGACAATTGCAAAATCTTCACCATATCATAGTCAAAGTGAGCCATTGAAAACTGATGTTAGTTGTGATCGCCCCCAGCAATGTGAATACAATACAACTAAATAAATAAATTATGTCAACGATCTTTGAATGACCAAGGATCTTTGGTTCTTAAGTCTATATTCTCGTTTATCCTAGTTTATTTCAATTAAAAGAAGAAGCAGTAACTGTTCACACTCCCATTTATTTGTTCTCAAACAGTTTCAAAACATAATACAAAGTGTGTTCCTAAACAACCCTTTCTCCGATGTCCACTTGTTATCACGAATTTTCAATAGACTTTTCATTATTACGCATCTATTTTTGGCAACAGGGGTAGAGGATTTCTTAATCTAATTTCAACACTTTTCTTCAATATGTTTGAAAGATGTTTGACGTATCTGAAACAATTCGTTCAAAAGAGACTAGCCATGAAAATCAGTCAGCCTAGCTCTAGGTCGTATTTAAACAGGCTTTAAACCAGCGGAACACACCACACATGTGAGCTCACGACCGTTCACATACGGGGGGCAGTGGAGGTTGTAGTTACACCGTCCCTCCACCTGGTACAGAAGGGCGCCGTTGTTGTTACTCGCCCCGGCCTCCAGGTGCTGAGCCTCCACGTCCACACAGACGAAGTCGGTCCGCCGGTGGTTGTACCTCTCCGCCATGAGGTAGCCGAAGTACTCGCTGGTCCAGCCGGGAGGGCAGGTCTTCTTGGCGGGGATCATGATCGTGGTGCTCCGGGGGATGGCACAGACGGCGCACGGCGCGTCGTGCTGGTCGTGCACGCCGAAGGGCGAGTTGGCGTCGGTTTCGTACTCAGCTCCGGCGACGAACCCGCGCTCGCCGTCGGTGGCGTCGTCGTACTGCAGCCACTCCGGGTCCTCCGGCAGGCAGAGGAAGTTGGAGCCGCTGCCGGAATGGCTGTACCAGGACCCGGCCATGAAACCTGAGGAGAAACAGAATTAGATTGTGTTTCAGACAATTCTTGTGTACAAAATATGTTTACTACATACTGTCAGTGGCAAGAACATATGCTAGTGTCTAAACAGCCATATGGTCTACTTGTGACAAAATATTTAAACATATACACACAACAAAAGTTCAGCTATGCTGTATGGTCATTTTCTATACTGAGAAACTACACATACTAGCACAACAGATATATATATCCTTGGAAATCTCTTCGTAGTAGAATGGTACTGGCTTTTCATATCAAACCCGTAGACACATTACTATGTAATTACCTTTGTACACCAGAATGGCGTCACCATGACACGAGTCCCTTCCCCAGCGGGTGTACTGGGTCATCCCACTAACTGTACATGTGATAGAGACAAAAAGGAACGTTTAGTCATATCATTGTACGTATATATGTTTGTACGGTACAGGACCTTAAGATACCGCGTATACATTTAACATAATCATTGACTGCTATGTGCCGTAGTGTGACGTCCTCTGGTAGTGAATTTATTGTCTGGCTCGTTGATACGTTTTAAAAATACTCTCGGTCAAGTAATCGTAAATTTTACAGATAAATTCATGACATAGTTCTTGACTAAAACTCGACAATATCGGAAATCACATATCTTATTCGGTAAATATACAATCATATGTATGATCAAGAAACATGCAAGTTACCTGCACTGTCGTCCAGAGAGGCAAACATATTCTTAGACCCAGCAGCGGCCTGTAGAAAAAAAAAATAAACATAGTTACTTCTTCTTACCTAACTTTACTTTTTGTACTGGCTGTGGTTTTAGAAATATCGGGACAATGTGGTAGATTGTTAAGAGTTTTACCTGTTCAAAGACCCCATCAACAGTCTCCTCTTTAAGCACGCTACCATGAGTAGCCACTGCCAACATCAAGACCAACACAGCCACACGGAAAGCCATGGTGCCTACGTTCTCAGTGCACCCTGTTCGCCCAGTGCCTTTTTGACAAACGACTCCAAGCCTTTTGTACAAAAAAGTGTGTTTCTGCACACAGCTAGATATAACCAGTATGGTCAGAGGTTACTAGTATATAACCTTCTTGGTTGTTTGGATGCAACGCTGCCATTTGCGCCCATTAGCTTTGTGCTAATAATAAAATGGTGCCCTTGGTGCAAACAGGCTTGTGGTATATAGACATGATTGTACCAAACAGCTTTCGTAGATACAGGATGTTAAAAAAAAACTTCGTTGGTCCAAGGTCATCATACAGGATGTCTTATAATGGGCTTGGACGATATGTAAGAGAGGAAGGGTCTTTGGTTTATTGTCCTCTACCAAATGAAATGAAACAAATTTCTGTTTGACTTAAAATTATATCAATAACATAAAGGTCTTGAGAGCAAACTGCGAGGGATACTACTACTGTCCTCCCAATTTAAATGGCCACTTTCATTCGTTATATGTAGTAAATTCCGAACACACGACAGTATATTACATAATGTGACCGCTGGGTTATTGAACCTAATGCGCTAATGACACTGTGTATTCATATCCTTGTGAAGTGTATGCTGAAAACAAATCCAGGTAAACCCTTTTTGTCTGGACTAAAGCAACTAATGACCGCTAATTAGTTTGTGGACAGCAAACAAACTACCACAAAATCACAATCGCCATTACGGGGGTAGAAAACAATGATTCATTTTGTCATAGCGACAGCTTTTAAATTACTTTCCAAGTATATGTTGTCTGGGCATCTTACGTTACATTTTTGGATAGCGTATTTGTCTTCCCTCATAAAGATATCTACATTTATGTCAACCGTTTGGGGGTCTATTTCCCACATGCCTGTAATAGGCTTTCATAGTAAGGTGGTCGAAATTTTGCAAAACGCCAACTTTGGGACCTAGAATTTGACACTTAAACGCCACAAAGTCGATTTGATGACGCCCACCAAAATGATTTGGTGGTGTGTGTCTAGGCTTTGGTGACGTCACCAAGAGTTGGGGTGAAACAGGGATGTATAAAAGCCACACACTCCCGACACAAGGGTCAGTCTGAGGTACACCGTCATCATGTTAGGACGGACATTGTCATTGGTTGTTCTGGTGGCGGTGGCGTTTGCTACATGTGGTGCCACAGGTAAGGTAAAGGAGTTGGCAAGGTTATATGTATGTCCATACATATGCGATTTACAAAGTGCATACAATAGCCTGTATCTAAATCATGCCACGGAAAGGGTGATTTTGTGAAGATGGAATACCCCACAATAGTTGGTGTATGTGACATGCATGATATCGATGCAAAGTTTTCATAAATTATCAATGTTTTAAAAGTTAACCTTTTGCTAGCTGCCATACGAAAGAAGCAACCGATGTTTGAGAGATTTTCATGATCATCTACAAGCTCTTATAGTAATACGCTCTTATAGTAGTTTTTCAAGAGTGAAAAATTCCATGGTTGCTTTTATGGAACGTTTCTTCCCAACATGTTTGGTCTCTCACAGGAGTTTCTACCTACGTCCGCTGGGGGAACAGCAGCTGTCCCGAGGAGACCGGGGCCGCTCTGATCTACTCAGGTAAAACTTGTAGCGACAAAAACGTAACAAAGGCCAACCAGTATAGATATCTAGAACATTGAAGCAAAGGAAAAAAGCATTTGGCAATTTCCGAGAGCATTTGGTGATATCTGGTCGTAGTTTAAACTTTCTTGCACAAAGCCAACTATTTTCATTGCTATGAAAAGGTTTACCATTAATTTGAAATATAGCTAATACATAAAACTTGCTATGTAATTTCTTTGAGGGTAGTTGCCCATATTATACGCCTTCAATGTTGAATAAGGCCACAATACAGACATAACCTTGAGTGAGATGTTTACGGAACGCCCATGTACGTTCTGCAGGGTTTGTGGGCGGCACCTGGTACAGCCACTCCGGGGGCGGTTCTAACTTCCTCTGCCTGCCTCAAGACCCGGAGTGGCACAGCTACGACGACAGTACGAACGGCGATCGGGCTCGGCTGGCCGGCGCCGAGTTCCAGACCAACCAGCACGGTCCTCTGCTCGACCTCTACAACACCGACGCGCTGTGTGCCGTCTGTCTCGTCCCCAGGGCCACCGCCCTCATGATTCCCGCCAAAATGACGTGCCCTAGCGGCTGGACGCGGGAGTACAGCGGCTACCTGATGACGGAGAAGTACACCCACCACCGCGCGGATTTCATCTGCGTGGACGAGGGGGCGGAGGGGGAGTCGGGCACCGAGGCTAACGATAACGGCGCGCTGATATACCACGTGGAGGGCCGGTGTAACTACAACATGCACTGCCCTCCTTACGTGAACGGGCGTGAGCTCACATGTGTGGTGTGCTCGGCTAACCCCAAGTAAAATGACAAAGACATTTGATTCTATCACCATTTGCGTACGCGTAATGTCAGCATTACAGGAGTCTGATTAAAGAAAAATGTAAGAATCAAGACTTTCTTTCTTTGTTTTTTCTTCTTCCTTACCATTAGAAGAGTTGTACTGTGACGTCACGCTCCAATGTGCCCCATAGACAGACAGTTGTCAGTCAAATGCTTGACGTGACCTCATCACGTGACAAATACGTACACACGTGTACGTATGTCCCCGCCCCCAAACTTAAATAAGCTTTTTAAAGATTAACAATATTTAATATTACAGCTTTCTGCCTCATACAAAAGGTAGTCTTTCTACTTTTCAAATATCTAGGGCATGTAGCTGTTCTTTTTGTTGAAAATTTGACCGATGAAAAAGCAGAGGTTTCTTCAGGTCAAATATTTCGCCTGAAAAGATAACAAAGTATCTCTGAAGGCCACGCTTATTATGGTCACCGTTTAGTCGACCTTTATATCAATCATCACATTCTCTGTCGCAAGGACAGGATCATCCTTACTAGTTGTACGGATATTCTTTAACATATAGCAACTCGATCTAAGTTAGCGCGCTAAGCAAACGTTGATAATCAATATTAGATATATTCCACCCAATTTTGTATAACGTTAGTTTTCAACTTTCTGTCCTTTTCACCAAGGTCAGCCTTTTGAAAATTTACGCCCTCTGGCTAGTTGAACAAGCTTTGCAGAAGGTAGCGCCACTGTGAAACACTTGAGGAAGTTAGCGACTAGACGCAGTTTACATTTCATTTGCTTCTGATTAAGGAAATAGCTAATAACTAAATGATATCTAGATATTACTAACAAAATTGATACGTTTTTACAAAAGATTACTTAAATATAAGACAAAAGCCTTGCTATTGAATGCATCTGCGGAGTTCATCAATCAAATATCTGGCAACCTGGTCGAACAGGTGTTTTCTATTGTGTCACAAACAGTTTGAAGTTAAAAATAAGCACAGTGATGAGGTACAAGTGACCTGAGGTCACGCAATGGACAAGTCTTTTGAAAGACTTGATATTTTGTTAAACCGGACGGATTAGTCACAGAGAACGGACCTACGTATCGTCAGAAAAGGGGGATAGTGTGACAAAAACTTGTTTTATATGCTGTGTAATGTAGTATTTATACCAAAATTTATGTGTTGGCCACTTCATGTTGATTATGAAAAATTAACAACGGACACAACAATCTAGTCTGAAAAGTTTGTGAGTTATTGTGGTGCAGAAGAAAAAAATTAATAGCACCCATTTTTAGAATGTCCAAGTCTTTATACATGCACCTCAGGTTACATAGTTGATAGTTTTAGTCGTCTCCCTTGTGTCTTTACTAGACGAGGGTCACTTCGTTTTCTCTACCCCCACCTTCAGATTTCTCTTGTGTTAGACATCGAGTCGACAGAAAAGTAAGTATGTATGGAATTTAGTGCTGGTTGGGAAATTTGGGGTACTTTTTTCATGTTTTCTTCCTCGCTAACACCTTTGTGTATTTTGGGTGACTCTGTATCAAGACCGTATTGTCACCGTGTGTGCCATCACAATTTCATTTTTGTTTGTTTGTTTGTTTGTTGGTTGGTTGGGTCTGTAATGTATAGATATTAGTATGTGTTTGTTTGTTTCTTCGTAAGAACCTCCCTACCTCCATTACTGTTGACCATTGCTACAAACATGCGAATGGCTCCATTGCCGGTTTTGACTAGACCGGTCCCATTTCCACACGTCTTCTTCGCTCACGTTTGTAACACCGGTCAACAATATTTCCCAAAAGCTGGTCCATTTCCGCGTCGCTAGTAAAATTACTTTTGGGGGCAAGCGGCAGGACACGGTGATTTTTGGGTGTGGTTCAGTATTAAGCTACCCCGTATGATTACCGAGTATGAAATCTTTGTTACTGTTGATGCTTTGTGGTTGAGAACTTCCTTCAGTGAACGTGGATATGTCTTCGGTTCTTACTTGGGTGGTATTTGGGTGTGGCTCAGTAAGACATGACTACGTCACAGTACTGAGAATAAGGACTACGTCACTGTAATGAAGTATTTACTAGGTTAATTCTTCCTGCTTCGGGGTTGGGAACTTCATTGGAAACGTCGATGTAGACGTCCGGACGTCTTCGATTTTTGTAACCGCTAGGGTTTCTTTCGTCTTCAGGTTTGGCGCGAAGTCAGTGAAGATAGCTTGCATTCCTGTGTAGCAGCATGAAAAAATCTACAAATGCAGTACCCCTGGTGAGAATATACCCCGGGGTGATTCTAACCAGGGGGGACCTGCTACACACCGCGCCGGCAAGCCCATTTGACAAAAGCAAGAATACCAGTCAAAGTTGGGTCTGGATGCCTGCCAAATATGCGTCTGGCGGAGATGACATTTGACAAGCAAAGCAATCTTTATTTACGTTAAACAACAGGAAATGGAACTGTATACTGTTACACATAGGTGTGCTTGTAATAAAGCACTGAACAATCAGAGCAATTGGTTGAATAAAGATGCAGTGACAATGGCGGCTGCTTAGAGCGGATTTTAAACTATTAAACACGACAACAAATAGTATTTTTTCTCTTGATTTAAAGGTAAATTTGAGCTATAATTCTTAATGCACAATTTAGATATTTAGTCAATTTTTTCCTGCACCTGCACCTATTGACGGTAGGGGCTAGGAGGTATTGGGGAATTTGGTACGCTCCAGCTGGATACAAGTTTTATTTCTCAGTCATGACTTAAGGTTTTCTCATTATTTCATGAGGATTCTATTCACTGACGACAACATCGCTCACACCCCCTGATCATCGCAAGGGCTGTAGGGATAGTCAAAGCTGAATATTTGACGCTCACACCCCCTGAGCACCATAAGGGCTGTCGGGATAGTCAAAGCTGACAATCGGTGTTCGTCAGAAACCCTCGGGATGATATCCGGTTTCCTACGCCATTTCCGGTTAAAAAAGAAGAACCGTACCTATTCTTAGCTGTGACAGTAGAAAATGTATGCTGGGTGCAGAGGCATTTTGACGTCCTTTGTCCGTTACTTCCTGTTTATGCCCAAGCAGGAAAAATAGATTAAATCTTTTCTAACTCTAGAGCTAACATATTACTACTAACAGGAAGTTCGTGACGTCACAAAATCCGGCGAAGTATATAAATATCTGCAAGGTTTGGACCAGTAGTACATACCTCTTGCTGCAGACGTCGGAGGTGAACTGAATTTTCTTTCTTCTGACAGAGAGAGACTTCCAGTACCGACATGGGGAGAGTTTTAGCGGTTGTTGTCTTGATGTTTGCGGCGGGACTGGCCGATGTGGCCGCCCAGGGTTGGAGCTGGCGATCGCACGACAAACCGGCATGGAACGTCGGTATAAAGTAAGGATGTATCAATGTTTTTCCACTTTCTAAAAGGTGCTTGTTTAAGAATTCTTCGTATAAAGATGTTGCTTTATATCTCCAGTTAAGTTCATGTATCCCACATGAACGCACTGCGTAAAGTACGAAAGCCCATAAGGACAGATTTCACAGCCCATGCGAATCCCTGCTGTTCTACTTAACGGCTTCGTTAAAAATCACTCCTTTCTCTGAGCCACCGTAGCACTAGTCCTAGCAGGCTCTTTGTGCCATTTTAAATGTTGCTTTTTCTAAAGATTAGCTAGAACTCCTCCACTGGAGCCTGCCCTGGGAGATACAGTACATTTGTGTCTCCATTTTCTGGCATTTGAAATATTCACCTTTGGTCTATCGTTCTACCTTCATGTAGGTCCGCCATGGCCCCGATGAAGGACGGGAAGCTGTTCGGGGTCGGAGGGAACAACAAGCTGTATGAAAGGTGGGTCAGCCGCCGGGAGTGTGGGAGTGAGTGAACGAGTGAGTGGTTGGTTGGTTGGTTGGTTGGTTGGTTGGTTGGTTGGTTGGTTGGTTGGTTGGTTGGTTGGTTGGTTGGCCTGGGGCCCAGGTACGAAGCTGGAGGGTTGCAGCGCAGTTTATGGATTACAAATTATCTATTTTGATGGATGGATGGAATAAATTGATTGATTGATTGATTTTACCAACATATCTGTATAGATATAAATTATACTCAACTTGTTAAATAGGGACAGTTTGAATGATGGCAAGACGCGGGCTGCTAGTGTAGCGTACTAACGACATGTGCATGTCACTCTTACCTGTTCTCAGGGTCTGGACCGGGTCCCAATGGGTATGGGTTAACCATGGAAAACCGTCTTCCAGCATATTCAACCCAAAAAACTTCCTGGAGGGTGAGTCCTTTCCTATTTTTTTAAATTCACACTGGGAAAGTGCTGGCAAGTAGACTTTTTATTACCTTACTGCAGCACCAGTGACAAGCAGAATTATTCGTTAAGCGATATTGCCCTATTGCATGGCGGCAGAAGGCCAAAAACTTTGTAAACTGTCCTTGTTTTGACAGTTGACATTGACAGTTGACAGTGCTGCGTGACAGTAAATTGTTTTTGTTTTGACCCCAGAACCATGCGTGCTGCGTGACGGTAAAGTGTTCATGACTACCATTGGTGGAGAGCTGTACGAGCGGTACTGGACAGGGTCACAGTGGTCTTTCGGCGCCCATGGAAACCCTGGTATGATGCCATATTCCTTGTTTCTAATTCTTAACCCTGGAAGGTTGGGTGTGATACCTCTTTTCTTGAACTAGTAGAGCCTCTGCCGAAAATATTAGGTTTAGGTACCTCATTTCATTTGCTTGCTTGCTTTATTTTTCATAGAAAGTATCATAGTTAAAGGGTTTGTCAATGGATATTCATGATTTTGTGTATGTACATTATGATCGATATCTGTCCAAAGAGGTTCATTCCCCCAAGCGGATTCCGCAAGAACTGCAGAAGGCTGTGCTTACAAATATGAGAGAAATCCAAATACATTCATATGGAATGTACAGCATGTACGGTAAATATTCTTTTCATTCATTTTTTTTGGTCCCAGGTACGAAGCTGGAGGGTTGCAGCGCAGTTTATGGGAGCAGAGCCATGGTGTTCACCCGGGGGTTTTGACGGGACACTCCGGGAGCGGTACTGGACAGGCAGCGCCTGGGCGTGGCGTAACCACGGCAAACCGCCTGGCACTGACGTAAGACACGATATTTTTTATAATGTTTCATGATGATCTTAATGACTTTTTGTGCCTTTGCCAAGTCTTTTTTTGTAGTCTTTCCTTTGCATATGGAGCTGGCATATGATAAAAACAGATTGACGTACGTAAGAAAGAGGCAACAGAGCACAATGTACGTCATGGTATCGGTTCATCCGCCGCCATCTTGGTGTCCTATTTGAATTTATTGGTCTTGTGAACGCAGCTATTTATAAAATACATACTCCCTGGTTTTTAGGCATTCGGAACGACCAGCAGCTACGCCATCTACGGCCCCACGACCCGCGTCTTTGTCCCCGGAAGTAACGGCCGACTGTTCCGCTTCAGCCTGGACGGGAACTACAACGGCGCCTGGCAGGACCTAGGGGCGCCCTCGGGCAAGTCGGTCAGGAAGGTGCACGCCACGGAGAAGGGCGGGATTTTCGCCATAATGACTGACGGAGATGTCTGCAGGTTAGCAATATCAAGAGCTTTCATTAACAAAAGCCCCTTGGTAATATAGGTATCACTGTAGATCAGTATGGGGCGTTTTCAGGTCGTGACGTCATCGCTGTGTCTGCCGCCATTTTGGTGTCCCTGTTTGCATTTCAGTGACTCAAACGTGGAGATCAAGCGTTCGACTCGGACATATTTTGACGCTCTCGTTTAATTAAACGCTATTGAATACATAAGGCTCAAAGAAGATGATACTACATGTAGTACCAAAAGAATGCATAAAAACTTGCCGACAAAAATTTGAGCTTTGGTTTTCTGAAAAGTTAATGCTATGTAAGGACACCAACATGGCAGTCAGCACCTGCCTGTATACTGATATAGAGTATGCTTGTAAGCGTCCCATACCAATATCCATATCTGTTCTCTTTACAGGTGGTCTGGTAGTTGGAGCTGCTACGGCAAACCTGACAACAAGGTCGTGTGGGACTGCTCAGACCCGTTCCTCATCGAGAATCCATCTCTGGTCAACATCAACGTCCTGTTCTGTGTCCACACTGGGTCATACCAAGAGGTAAGTTTCTAGACTTTATGATTACTTTGTTTCTGACATCCGACAAGTTTCATGTAACATTGTGAACGTGAAAACCGATGTGGCGATCTTTAAGGGGTACCCGGTGGAATTAGGGTTTTCAGTTGAGTTGTTGACTGCATTTCCCCAGGTGTACCAGCTGTCTGTGTTCCAAGGTGGAAGTGGCTGGGTAAACCGCGGAAAGCCGTCCGGTACCAACACGTTTGTGGACCGGCCCACGGTGATGTTCACCGGGCAGGACCCCCGAGTCTTCGTGCCCGCCAACGACGGCAAGGTGTACGAGCTGTACCAGCCCTGACGGTCTCCTCTGGTCACGCGTTCGTCACTTGTTGGTCCCATGACGATCACTTGCTAGCCACGTGATATTCACGTGTGTGTCACGTGTTATTCTCCTAATACTTTCCGCCTTATCGTAATGGTGAGATGCTATGATTAAATTTAAGGGTTATACTAGTATGCTATTTATACGCGCTTATCCGGAAGAAATATTTGTCTTAAAATGACCGTGTAAACCGTGATACTCATGATCATTTTGCAGCTAAGTCACAATATTTGCTATACAATGATATTTGCTACAGCTTGAGTGTACTGGGCGTACCTTATATTTCTTATATCTAGCTATATAGGAATTCATACTGTTGAAACTGTAGACTTCAATCCTTTTGGTGATTTTCGGATTGTTTATCGACCATTGTAATGTGAAACATTACATGATAGAAACATGAGAGCTCCGGGCTTTCTGTATTTCCTCAAAACTATCTGTTACTAGTATTATACATTCAGCAACTTTTACTTCAATAAAGAATACGAACTAGAAATGCACATACTTTAATTGCATGTATTTCAACGCCACGGTAGGAAAGGCTAACGTTAAAATATGTAATGGAATTTGATAAAACCAATAGAAAATACTTCACAACACCACGAAAATATAGATTGTAACGCCATTCTTGATCAATACATGGTATGTAATTGAAGTTATTAGGATATAAAACATAGATCATCAGAAAAAAAACACACGTACACGTAACGTGCTTTCAGCAGACATTTTAAAGAATATGCGATAATATTTTGCCGCTAAACACATGCAATCAATTGCAAGGCCATATGTAAAGAATAATGTTAAAGTGTAAAACTTTCTTGAACAGATATTATTGTCATATGGTATCAATTTCAAGCGGGCTTTGATACAACCAATTACCGACAAGGATTAAGGTTGGTGACAAGGCTGCTGAATTTTGCACGACTATCCCGCGAATGCCCGTTTTTAATCGTACGACAGTCATTTTTCCGCTAGGACGTAGACTGTCGTCCTCATTTATATATACCCGTAAACGACAAGTATGGCTGCCAGCAATAGCAGGAGTAGGACGGCAAAGACTGCTGGAGCGACTGATGTTCCCTTGCTCACGTCAGGTCGGTAAGACTGGCAGATTCCTTTCTGCATGCATTTGAGGATGGCATTGGCCTGGTCTATCCCGGAGAGGTACCTACCATGCATTAACAAAATACTTAATGCTGGGAAGGTTGAATTTGGAAGCAAATACAGAATATGTACCTTCACATTGACCTTACTTGTTTGGAACAAAAAAAACACCTAAAACAGGAAACGTGAATTGACAAGTCATAAATGTCTGAATCCAGACTTGGAAGCCTGGTAGAGGCTATTGCAAGTTTACAACTCACCCTCCTTGTACGTAGCCGTTGTACCGCGGGTGAGTTGCCTCCCCTCCGAAGTACAGACGTCCCACCGGCGCAGCCAGCTTCTGAAAGTCCCGCGCAGTCACGTGAATAGGCCAGTTGGAGTAGGCACCGAAGAACAGTGGGTTAGTCAGCCATCTGGGGTAACGACAGGACGGAGTTAACAAAGGGAAAGCAGACTGCTGCTGTGTTTGCCGCAACTATTAAACGAAATAAAAAAAGCTAGCATAAAAGTTCATCTGAGTTGGTAAAATAGAAAATCAAACTGTGCCCAAGTAAAAAAAATGACCCACAAGGAATTTTCGACCGAATCATCAGGGCATACCAATTTTCGTTTAACCGGGACGGGGGGCGGTACCGACTTCCGACGAACTTTGACCCAGTGCTGACGTCACACTCAGGCAGAAAGCTGATGAAGACCGAGTGATTCGGTCGAAAATTCCTGGTGAGTCATTTTTGCTTGCAATTGAGTTGGAGAATAGTTTAATTTTTATTTTATATTATAAAAAGATATCACCTCCAGTGCAATCAAAACTCTTTTGGAGCGGGGGGAGGGGGTATGGAGCGGAGGGGGTATGCTTGGGGAAGAGATTCAGCGCCACTAGTTTTCTAAATTTACTACAAGACGAAAAAACCTGACAAGTCCGTACCTGGGTACTAGTATGCTCTCCGGCTCGGGGATGTTGTTGCCGTACATGTTCCTGAGGACGGCCATCACCTCCTGTTGGGTCGCCTCGTCAGACTGAAGCTCGATCCGCTGGACTTCGGAAGCCACAGCCGTAACCAGCAGAATATTGGTGCCTGGTGGGGAAATGATACATGTCTACATGTTGGCCTTGTGGTTGAGGTTAATGATTTATAATTAGTATTCTAGGTTTGATTCCCTGGTTCCCGGTGTGACGAACAAAAGTTTTTGAGATACCACCTTGAGGAAGTAGCCACATTTTTGTGGCCGAGAAACCTTTGTAGTATACCTACATTAAGAAAAATGCGCATCCTTTAGCATAAGGTGATTGTTAAGAGCATTTCCAGTCGATCATTATCACTTTAGTCACGCACAAATTTTCACAATATTTCGGTACAGATATATGGCCAGATTTTCTTGATTTCTTTTTTACGTATGTGTAGGAGTTTATCTATATAGTAAACGGAGATAAATCGCCACACTGACCGTTTGGGAATATCCCCGGCGCCTCGAGGTTCTGCCATATGGCATACTGTGGCCACAGGGACCCTGCGTACAGGATGAACTCACTGTTGTCCCAAAACTTGCGTGGAAACTTCAGGAAAATCTTGCAGTACTGCCCCATCCTGAACTGGTAAATCTCTTCAACCTATGGAAGATTTGAGCAGTTAATTTTTTACACCGTAGCAATTTTATATAGTAGAAAGTTTATTGCAAGTTCTTGCCAGTAGGCTAATTGACATGAAAATGAAGGATGGCCTATGGGTAACAATATACTATGCGACAATTCTAACTACTAAATATTAATAATATCAATGTAATTGTGAAATTCGAGTAGAGAGAACTAGAACCGAGTAGAAATTTCGTTTGTCTGGCATTTGGCATCTTCCCCACCCATGTGCTGTCAACCTACTTTCAGGCTCACCCCATCTCCTGCGTCTGACCTCTTTGCTTTCATTCTGCAAACGACGGGAAAAAGTTATTCCCTACCTTCCAGGAAGGCAGATCAGGTGTGAAGTCGATGACCTCGTTCTCCAGCACGCCGACACTGACCGTCATCAGCCCGTACTCCCCTCGGTACGTGGAGCCGTCTACCGTGGTGATCGTCACGCCTGCGTCCGTCCAGTTCACCGTCTGGACGACTTTGTTCAACTGGCGCCGGGTGTCGTTTGGGGACAAAAACTCGGACGACAACCTGGACGAATTAACGGGCAACAAGAAATGTGAGATTTCAGACTTCGGGGAAGTATGCAATCCTGTACATTTCTGAATATACCCACATGTTGATTACTAATTCCTGTTGGCAAGATTCTCAGACCTTCACGTTCAACTCGAGCTCATTTCCTGTGCCTGACTTTGTCCTCCTGTCATCCTGCCTGTCAATCCTCCCAGACCCACGTGCTATCAACCTACTCTACTCCAGACAATTACAAAGAAAGCCCCAACTCCATATTTTGGACTTTGCACATAGCAAACATTACTCAAAATACTCCTATTGAGGAAAACTTTAAAGCACCAGAGAATTTCAAGTGCATTATTTCCAATCTGTAGTCTACACATTATTGATGTTGATTTATGTCAATTTTTATATTAGTCCGCTGTGTCATTACCCTGTGGACGGGTTTGAACTTCGCCCTCTCAACTGACAGACCCTAGAACTTTAAAAAGTAAATCATACCTGTCCACAATATGTCCGAACCCCCGCTGGTCAGTGAGAAAGTATTCCTCGTCCGTAAAGTCCTCGGAATTCCTACCAGTATTGTTCAGTGACGTCACTTCCGGTGGATCTGCGTATTCAAACTCATAATCAAAATATTCTATGGCCTTCTCTATCGGGGTCTTCGGTTTCCAACCTCCCAGTTTCAGTGCCACTCGCATGGATACGTCTGGCAGCCTGAAATAATTAACAAATCAATATTAACAAAGGACAACTCTCGGAAAAGTAAATGAATTCACAGTATATAAGATCTATGCATATTATATACTATTATATACTATTGTAAAATATGAAAGATACAAAATGTTTTCAATACTTTTGCTACAGTTCAAATCACATTTCAAATAATTACATTAATAGTGAGTCCAATAAATTCGAAAAACAGACAGATTGGTATCCGTTGTACCATGTATGATGTAATGAACGATAATAATCCTCTTACACATCAATAATACTAATAAAATTTGCACAGACAGCATCAAATGAAATCATCATCACTTGTTTTCGCGAATCTTTTTCCTCAAAGCCTTCAGGGACTCCTGTGCCGTTCCCAGCCTCTCCCATGCTCCTTCCGCCTGCTCGGTGACGTCACTTCCTGTTTTGTTCCGAATGATGACGTCATCGTAGTTGGATATCTAGTAAACATATAAAGTACGGTGGTCATCTAAGCACTTTATCCTGCAAAATGACATGAAACAAAATACCTTCAGTACCAAGCAATTGGAAGAAACACACACCTTATATTAACAATTCATGACATAGCTAGTGCGCTTAACATTAAGACAGCTAATATCAACAAACGATATTACAATTAAACAAACATAGGGTGTAATTAAACCATAAACTTACCTTTCCTGAGAAGTTGTATCTTTGCGCCAGCTCCCAGATTGGGTTATTCCCGAGGCCTTGCACCCAGTTGGCCCCTATTTCAACTTTTACCCCGCCAAATTCCACCTGAAAGAAATTCAAACTAGATCTACAATGATGGTACAAAGATTATTTCCTCTAACCAACTCAACGACCTAAATTTTACATAACATTATAATGTCGACCGATTAAGCCGCATATGAATTGATGGGAAACTGAAGACAGAGAGTGACAGAAAAAGTGGCCCTGTTTTCACCTACAATTTGACCTCCCTGTCAATCTGTGGTTACTCTATTTCCTCGCGTACTTCCTGTCTCTCTACTGTAGTGTGAATACCTACGGACACACAAGCAAATACACAAACAGGGCCACCGAAAATAAATCCTCCTTCGTACAAGGAGATAAGAAGCGAACCTTACCTGTCTCATCCTTCCCCCGATTCGGTCGGACCCCTCCAGGATGACGAAATCGTCCACTCCGTTCTCGTGAAGAGTTTTGGCGGCGGCGATACCAGCGATGCCCGCGCCGACAATTATGACTTTCCGCTCCTCTGTCAACTTCTTACACCTGACAGCCGTTATGGCAACCAGCATCATCACTAGTATCCTCTTCATGGTGATGCAGTACCCTGGCATACCAGATACAACATAGGCTTATGGGCACCTTTTTCTGACGCTACAAGTTGTTTTACACATCCCTGTGTACTAGTTTTGAAATTTTCTTCCAAACCAATATGACTTTCATATGACCTTGACCATCTTCTCCATATTCTGGCTTTCACATGTTTTTATTTGTAGACACGTCATTTTATGTTTCTATTCTATTCTATATGTATGTTTATGTTGTTGTTTTTTTTGTTTGTTTGTTTTTTTGCCAAATTCTCATAACGTCACATTCATACCGCGGGAAGGGTCAAGACTACAGCTGCGACACCAAAACATGTCATGTCTCCACGTCTTTAGCGTCTTTATACAGGACCGAAAGTACACATATGCAACAGAGACTAGAGAAAGCTAGCGCATCGTAGCACATTTAACAGTGTCGTAGATTATTCAAGCTGTCTATCAGTGACAGTACCGACTTCTGACAACGATTTACGACAGACAATTATATAATGATTATCGTACTTCTTAGGTTGTAGTGACGTAACAAAACATTTGAATTTTGCAAGACACATGCACAACTTTGCGATCGTCTGATGATCTAACCCTAAAAACCTACAGATTCAAGCGCAACCGTTTTGAAAGGAATATTTAGACTTACTTGGAATTCAGTGGGAGTCAGTTCATGAAGTCAGCTGTGAAAAAAATGAGACAACTCCCTGTGTTTTGATGTGAACTGGAATAACAACTTTTGGTCTGCCTTTGTTTTAATTCCCTGTACACCGATTCCTTAGTTTTTATCTCCTTCTTCTTATTCAAAATATATACAAAATGAAAGCGATTGTTATATATATTTTTTTGGGTACATGATACACTAAGTTACATTCAATCAAAAGCTTTCATAGTATTAATGGTTACGCCATGAATCTAATTTCTGAGAGTGCAAAATAGTTGCAGGTATATGGTTATCATGCCATGATTGACAACTATGACGTCACTGGTCAGCGCCATCTTTGACGATAAGAAAAACAAAACAGTTACAGGAGCAAGACACAGTATTTCACCTGACATGAGCGCGGTTGAAATTATAGCATAAGCAGTAGGTCATCGAGTTGTAATCGGATATACATGTGCATGTATATTCACGCTGATTCCCGTGAATTATACACTAAACACACTATCCGCTGGTTAAATACGGTTAGTCCGTTTATTTTGGTATCGATGGAGTGCAAAGCTTGTTTCCAATTAGACGCCATTACTGCAAATTCATCTATCTTCGCAAGGACTTGGTATATACCATTGTTACAAAGTGATACGGCCCGATACTTCGATCTTAGGAGATGTATATCTCTAGTACGTGTAAAATAAATGAAGGCAGAGTGGTTTCCGAAGTTTTATTTGATTAGTACTTTGATCTTATCTGTAAATGATAACCTATATGAAAAATTCTTGAATCGGACACGAACTTTTATATGTTTCCGTTTATGTCCGATGCTAAATGTGTAACGTGACTTTTTACATCATAATGTAAGCTAGGACCCTGACACCATGCGTTGTCGCGAGAATGTTGCAAACACCATCTCATCTGCCTGTTCAGTGTTTTAGATTTGCAGCTAACAGAACCATGATATATGCATAAATATATAAATCTGTATATCAAAAAGGTTGCAAAGCGATATGGATAATGGGGTGCAGTCTGCCATCACTGACTGCCCTGTTTAGGTATTAATTGTTTCCCGAACCGGTCACTCGTTTGGCCGCCTGCTTGCAGATGTAGGACCTGGTGGCTCGGTCATCGCAGGCGACGTCGTACCATTGGTCAGTTCCCCAGACGTTCTTCATCACTATGGCAACGCAGAAGTTGATCTTGGCCCCATCCGGTTGTGGGAACCCGGTTCTGATATCCATAGGCGACCTATTAAAGATGTGTTTGAAAGAACAATACTGTTTTGTAGCAAAATGTCTAATATCTGATCATATCTACAAACGAACGTTGGTACCTTCATTCACCCTTTGCCAGGTCACGTACATGTGCGAACCAATATTCTGTGTGCCAGCCGGGTTTAAAAGTAGATGTAACGGGAGTAAATATTTTCACTGCCTGACATGTTAGTGGGTGACGGGAGAACACTCACCAGTCCATGTATGTGACCGGAGTGCCGTCGGTCCATACGAAGGTTCGGTCTCGGTAGATATCGTACAGACCTTGTGGGAGTAACGACTTTGCATTAATCGTCAAAAACATTTGAAGCTTTTTGCACATGCATGTTAATCATTAGATTTGTGTTTTCAGCTGTAATTCAAAGGGTTCACAGCTTCTAAGTGCACTCATACAGCATTCAGCATCATCATCAAGTCATATAGAAAAATGGTCCATATTTCACCAAAGTTCTGGAGTACATGTATATGTTTGTATGCCATACCAATGAAAAGCATGGGGTCAGCGATGCGTTTGACGACAACGTTAGTGACCAAAAGCAGGTGGAGAAACTCCATCTCCGCCCGGTCAGCCACGCTGGTCAAGTTGGCGCCGGATTCTCGGCACTTGGCGTCCGACTCCTCCCAGGTCACCGGCGAGGTGTGCCGGAAGGTCTGGAAACAGTTCCGGCGGAACAAGTGCCAGCCACACGGGCAAATGAACCCTGCACGATTTAACAGGAAAAATAATGCCATACTTATAAACAAGATAACCTTATTCATCAAGCTTCCATGCACTGAAAAAAGTTTATGTGCTTAATATTCAGGAAGGTAATATTCAGATATGTCATGGAAGAAGCTGGAAGCCCAGGATCGCATCAGATAGAGAGACATATGGCTGGACCTAGTCCGTGGCCGATGCCCTAGGGTGGGCAGTAGGCCTACTGAGTAAGAAAGAGTACCTGCATCATCAGGTAAGTTCTGCACTTGTCGGCTGGCGCTGAACGTACTGATGTTGAACGTCGCCATGAACCCGCGGCTGTCGCCAAAGTCAGCATCGTTGCTCGTCGCCAACATGGCCAACTGCATGTCGTTCGAGCTCGACACGTACCGCCTCTGCGCGCCCTCCCCGCGACAAAGCCCGTGTATCGTGTTCCAGTCTACGGTCAGGAACCTGTCCCTGACCTGCAGCACACGGCTTGTGCAGGCCCCACTCGAGTACCCCGGCAAATCCACGTCCAGCAGCAGTAGTGTGACGAAGCTGCCGGGAGGACCATCGATGATCCACAGGCAGATCACTGAAGAGGGGAAGGCGGTTGGGTATCCGGGGGAGTAGATCAGTCCACAGCGGTACTGGTCAGGGCTGCCGCATCGGATATTCCCACAGGCCGGCTTACTGGCCATGCAATCGTCACACACTGAAAATAGTAAGCACAAACAACAAGGGAAGCCGTTAGAAGACCCAAAATGACCTTGACCTTTATCTTACCAAAACCTATAAAGATACTAAATATCATCGAAATCTATTCATAGGTCCTTTAATTATACTGATACAGATACAGAGCCACACACGCACAGATCAGCCGAAAACATTACCACAATTCACGGTAAAAACAATTTTTATTTTTCATATTCGCCCCGCGCACTCAATGTTTACAATGCCTTATGCTTATCACTATTCAAGACTTGAAATAATTTACAGAGAAATTGATGCTGCGTAAGTTACCTGTCATGTCCGGAAGATACATATTTAGTTCGTTCCTGTCAGTCTCTCCATGTTGTAAGTCAGTATAGTTGTAGTTTGCGGTAGTATCACAGCCATCACTACGGTATGAAGATGGGTCTATACGTCGTGAAAACCGAAAGTGCAAGTGTCATTGAAAATTCAGTAAGATACATGGATAAATACATGTTTTTATTGAGTAATACATGTTTTTATTGAGTAATTTCTTCTTCATTTTAGTCAGTATGTAATGTATGTAAACATGTACTCTGCGGTTAAAATTCAACCGCCTTTATCAACATATCAAGACAAGATGCTGTCCTTCCAGCAAAAGCAAATCCGATAAGCAAGAAAGAAGTATTCTTTTCAAGATGTTTCTTCCAGGCAAATGGTAATGAAAGAGAGTTTCAACATTTTACGGCTGGTTTCCTTTCCTTGTCTACCAAATTTGGGATTCACAGTGAAATTTGGCACATTCGACGGTAGATTTTCACCTTTCTCGCAGATGTACTCTTTCTCAATCAGACTGCAAGGATGAAGACTCCAAGGACCTACGCAAGTGTCAGAACATAATAATAGTTCATAATTTTACTTGCTTATGAGGACTATACATATTCATTATTATGCAAAATATAAATTTCTATGACAATCAAAATCCACAACTTTTATATTAGAGCAGTTATTGAAAACTTGTCCTATGTATCACATGGCACGTGTATTTCAAAACACACCGTGTTTTTCTAGAAAGGCACAGAAGGGATCATTGAGTCTCCAAATATATTCCTGGAAAACGTCGAATGAAATGCCTTGTTCCTGGAAAGCCTCGCCCGCAGGACTTCCATCGCTCCAGGTAAAGTTGACAATACTCTAGAGAAAAAGAAAGTCAGCAACAACTTTAAATTTAAGCTAACTGGCACAAGACCATTAAAGACGTTCCCAACATCATTGAACCAATGTCATTCCATTGACTGACTAGTACTGCTTCGAGAAACAAAATTACTATACGTGTAAGTAATGATTATGTCTTATGTTATAATGTATATGTAATGTAGATATTTGCAGTTGACAGAGAATGCCTGCTATGATTAAACTCCGATATGAAACTTTTTTAGTCTTAATAAGGGACCGGAGCAGGCAAAAATAGTCAGATAATCTTCATTGAAGATACCTGTCTGTCTTCCTTGATCAAGCTAGCAGCAAGCTTCATCCCTATCCACCCGTTCCCTACGTTGTCCCTGAGGAACTCGTTTTCCTGTAGCGAGTTGACGGCCACCAGGTGGCCGCCCAGAGCCTGGCAGTACCTCTCCGCAGCCCACCACACAAGCGGGGAGGCAAACTTCTGGTAACAGTGTTCTTCAAACATCGTCCAACCTTTACCACAGGATATGCCCTTTTCAGGATGCTCTACAAGAAAATAAAAGGTATAAATTACACTCCAAGAAAATGGAATATTACCGTGCATATCCAATCATCGTTTTAACGATAATTTTAGAAATATGACAGAATATACACGAGTAAACGTATACCTTGAGCAAGTAAAAATCTATTTATTCCTACATTGGCGGAAAACGAAAACTGTATCTTAACTAATATTTACTTTTTCACTCCAAAGCTAGGCAAATCATACAATTTGCAAATTATATCGTACCTTTAATGAGGCATCCCAGTAGCCCTACCTCCAAGATAGTCGTGTCCATCAGTGACTGTGGAGTAAGTCTGACCACCCTGGCCTGCACCGGTACGGCCAGATAATGCTCAGCTTGTTCAACACCATTTGAGCGTGCTTGGAATATCTAAGATAAAAAACATTTTGAACATCATAATTTTGACGAAGATCTACCTTTCAGATATCTATACTTATGCAATCGCGTACATTGTTACCTATCGCAAATACAAGAACAAAGCAAAACGGGAACTAGAAAAAATGCAGCATTGGTGGAGTATGCATCATCGGATACTGAAATACCTTTACTCCGTCCCCTTCCGTATACGCCGTTAAACAGTCGGCCCAAACACCATACTCCAACGAAAATGTGAGGGTTTGTGATGGCCTTGAACCCGAAATGACTATTCCTGTAAGTTGCACAGTGTCTTCCAGGGTAATTTGCAACCAATCATCGAGTCCCTCTACCGCCCATCGTGCCGGGGTGAGCCCATGGCTACTGCGGATGACGTGACTTGTACCAGTACCTTCTTCGATTGAATACTCTTCCAGAAGTAAGGACAAAGGCAGCAAACAGGCTCCCTTCCCTGCGTAGAAACATTTTAAAGCATTTGTTAATACAGTGTTAGTTTCATGAGGTTGGTGCGTCACTGAGTAAAGAGACTGAATACTTGAAGACTTGGTTGAAGACTCTTTACTCAGTTCAAAGCATTGTAGAACATGTATGTTGTGCGCAAATCTACCTGAGATATAGACCCGAAACACGGACCTTTTGTTACAATGTTTAGATACCTTTCAAAATAAGATTAACACAGCTTTGATTTGGGATATGTGTATTTTGCAAATGCTACACTTTTACACCCTACCCTATCTACCACTATCTATTAGCAATCATTCCGGCTTACCAATACAAGCATCTTCGTCTGAAGCATCCACACAGTCCGGTATGCCATCACAGATGCTGCTTCTTGAAATAAAGCGATTGGACGAGATGCATGATAGTCTGTCTGTGAACATGGCTGTACACAAATAAAACATATGATTTAGTTTTTACCTGAAACAAGTGCTTTTGAAAAAAGCTGGCATTTCGGCTGGCTCTGTCAGGTGTTGTACATCTTACGTCTAAGGAGAAACCTTTATAATATACATGTATTATGATACGGTAAAAGTTTAACATCATTTGCAAATGTTTTTCTTGTTCTCTAGTAACGCGTTGTTGTAACAAAAAAGGACAGTTAAGAACCAAGCAATAGGCATCCTGGTGATACCTATTGCTTGCTTAAAATAAATTTAATTACCGCATTTCCTAGGATTTTCGTCTATGCCTGTCCTGCAGTCGTCGTTGCCATCACAATATTGAGAGATGCTGATTCTCTTGAAATCTGAAGATGTAATCTGCGTATCCACACATTTGGTTGAGGCTGTATGTTTAAAGTGCAGAATTGAGTGGGCTAAAATCTGGATATCGTTTGTGTATTGGTGATAATGATTGTGTATTGACGATACTGATTGTGTATCGAGGATACTGATTAGTAATACATAATATCTATGAGAATACCATCTGTTTCAGGTGTATGACATTATGAGTGTACTAAGTATAAAAGAGATAGCCTTATAATCGACAGTAGTTGTAATCAATACCACAGTTCGTTTCGTCTGTAAAATCCAAACAGTCAGGTAATCCGTCACAGTCGATCCACAGTGGACCGCCGCACTTGTGGGTTTCCTCACACGTAATACCAGGGCAACGTACTGCCTCTGGAAAAGACATGGACAAGACGATCAATTTAATCAACTCCATGCAACGTAGGATACAAATTTGCTACTTGTAAACAGTCCTAAATATGGTTAAAGAAATGTCCGAACGTCCATAGTCGTTTTTATCTTAACGTTTCACAGCGTTGTCCTTTCATTAGGTCTTTGAGAGGGTAATTTAATAGTATGTGTTTTTCCTAAGTTGCATATACATGTATATATAACCCTCAATAAGAATTAGACGTTCTTTAACATCGTTTTCTTTCAAATTAC